TGTTGTTATTATAGATAAGACACACCCAGATATTTTGCCCTCATTTTACAAAGACTTTATGATATGCGTTCTACTTTCCTATAGGCGCAAGCCCCTATAGTTGATTACTCCACCCGATCACGAGAGAGAACTTTCGATCAAGCCTAGTCATCAAATGAATACATCGTACTAGTAGATACGTGATATCCGGCATATAGTAGCAGCATTGGTTTAGTATTCTGATAATTTGAAATTTCACCATCTGATGATGAGCCCGATCAATATCCCATGGTTCCGACGTCCCGGGCTATCGTGGTATCTGGTCTACTTAGTCAGAGAAGATAGTCGACCCAACCTGACAGAAGGGTCCTTGTCGGTAGCTGTGGGTTGCGTCGTCCAAGGGTCCAAGGGTACCTTGTAGACTTGAGATGATGTTTGTCTAAGGGAACAAATTTAAATCCATCTTAACTGACAGAGGGCTTTATGCCCTATCGATCACATCTTATTGATTCATATATCAAGGATTTAATGTTATTGAAGAGCATACAGGCTCTGACCATGACTGTAATATAATGATGTCATTTCACGGTGAACCACCCGTTCAGCAGGTCCCAATCATAACCGTTTACATGTGGTGCCATTTAGTAGCAAAATTCACGGTGTCGTGCCATTTGTCAGTAAAACCACCGGTTAGAGAACACGTACCATGTCCTTATTAACAAGAGACAGTTTGAGAATAAATCTTAGTAATATTCTCGACTAAACATTAGCTCTTTGTGAGCGGAAGTTGTTTTCAGATTGTCCACCTAGGCAAACTGTTGTGAATGGTGGATAATTTTTTGTGCTTTAAGTGTTTGATGATTAGTTTTAATTTTAAATATTTAGATTTTGATATTATGGAGTTTTGGTTTTTACGAGCGTTTGGAAGACATTATAAATGCTTGTAATCCCCTCCAGTTGAGATTTGCATTCAACACGTCCATCATCAGGGTGTCTTTGAGATCATTTAAAATAAATATCTATATTTTGTGGAAGTTTGAGGGTATTTGAAAATATATGATCCCCACCGGTTGATGTTCACATTCAACACGACCATCATCGGGATGCCTTTGATATCATTTAAAAAAATAATATTGATCTTGCGGGAGTTTTGAGGGCATTTGAAAATGTATGATCCCCTCCAATTGATATTCATATTCAACACGACCATCATCGGGGAGACTTTGGATTATTACATTTTTGTTGATTGAAACTTGTCAACTCTGTTTACTTGCTAACAGAGGATCGGGTTCAAATCTAAATTCATTTATTAACCTGCACAGCCTCCTAATCGTCGTGTGTGTATCTACAACACCCTCATCGGGGCCTACGCAGGTATATGCCATTAGATTCATTCATATGTATACATTATATGATTTTTTAAATGAAATTGCAGTGTCACATGACATACCGAAGTGAAACCCTTTGCTTTTTATAAATACATGCTGAGGTATTTTTGAAATGCAATTATAATGTCAAATGACACACTCGAGTGAAACCCTCTGTTTATGCAGGAGCGTGATCTTTGAAGTACAATTATAGTGTCAAATGACACACTGGAATGAAACCTTCTACTCATGCAGAGGATGATTTTTTAGTACAATTGTGGTGTCAAATGACACACTAAAGTGAAACACTCTGCTTATTGTAAATGCATGCATAGGTATTTTGGAATAAAATCATGAGGTCAGATGACACACTAGAGTAAAACCCTCTGCTTATTGTAGATGCATGCGGAGATTTTTTTGAAATGCAATTATAGAAGATGATATTCAACAAAGGTGGATGAGATATTTTGCTAAACTTTTTAATGAAGAGTGTGAAAATAAGATTGACTATAGTGACCTTAGCACCCTAAATGAAAGTAAAGATTTCTGTTTTTAGTTCCAAGAGAAGTGCTATGGAGAGTTCTTGAAAAGAAAGGAGTTAATAATGCTTATATTCAAATCATTAAAGATATGTATGCAGGAGCTATTACTTGTGTTCAAACACAAGGTGGTTTGACCAAGTATTTCCCTATTTCGGTTGGGTTACATCAAGGATCAGCCTTAAGCCCATATCTTTTTGCTTTAGTCATGGATGTTCTCACTAGACATTTGCAAGATGATGTACCTTGGTGTATGCTTTTTGCTGATGATATTCTTCTTGTTGATAAGACTAGAGAGGGAGTTGAAGGTAAACTTGAATTATGGAGGTCAACCTTAGAGTCTAAAGGTTTTCGCTTGAGTAGATCTAAAACGGAATATATGGAGTGTAATTTTAGCAGTAATAGTCCTAGTGAGGGGATTGTGACTTTGGGCGATCAAGTCATTAATAAGAGTACACGTTTTAGGTATCTTGGATCTATTGTTCAGAGTGATGGTGAAATAGATGGGGATATTATCAGCAGAATTCAAGTTGGATGGTTGAAGTGGCGGAATGCATCGGGCTTGTTATGTGATAGAAATGTACCCCTCAAACTTAAGGGAAAATTCTATAAGATGGTAGTGAGGCCTGCAATGCTTTATGGTGCCGAATGTTGGCGATTAAAAGAGAAGCATAATACTAAGTTAAGTGTGGCAGAGATGAGGATGCTTAGATGGATGAGTGGCTTTACCCTTAGAGATAGGATACGAAATGAGCATATACGTGAAAAGGTTGGAGTAGCTCCAGTAGAAGATAAGATTAGAGAGAGTCGCCTTAGATGGTTTGGTCACATAAAAAGGCAGCCTTCCGACGACCCAGTTAAGAGAGTAGAGGTATTAGATTTGACTTGTGTTAAGAAAGGTAGGGGTAGACCTAAAAAGACTTGGTTAGAAAATATTTAGGAATGACCTTTCTTTATTAGATTTAAACGAGAATTTAGCTTTTAATAGGACACAATGGAGAAAAAGGATTCATGTAGCCGACCCCACGTAGTGGGATAAAGGCTTGATGTTGTTGTTGTTGTTGTTGTTGTTGCAATTATAGTGTCAAATGACATACTAAAGTGAAACCCTCTACTTATTATAGATGTGTGCGGAGATATTTTTGAAATGCAATCATAGTGCCAAATAACATACTAGAGTGAAACCCTATGCTCATGCGGGAGGTTCTTTCAACATGTAACAGCGATGTTAGATGATATGCCCGTGTTCTGTAAGTTGCTACACGTGCATATACAACACATTAGCATGTAAATGCAATGCATGCATCTCACGATGCTAGATTTTTTAAATGAGCTATTATGCATTTTACGATGCGTGTATGAGGGAGCATTTTGAGATATTTGCATGCAATGCGAAGGGGTGTCAGGCTACATTGGTGACTATTGCTGCTGAATGCGCGAGGCTTTATTTCAGGCTTTGTTAATGTCTTCTGTCTGCTTATACAAGCGTTGCAAATTCGGTGTGTGACGTTGCGCTTCAGCGGCCCGTGTTTTATTTTTACTACTGATTCCCTCCTTTTACTTACAGGTGAATCCTAGTGTCATCACCATTCGGCGTAGCCATATTATTTTGATGTAGACTCTATTTTTTCATTCTTCGGGATATCAGATCTATGAATCAACCAACCCTTATTTAGATTGGATAAACACATCTAAACGACATGAGGTCATTTTGTGATAAATGATGTATCATAAGCTGATGAGATCAAAGGCTCGGTTAGTACATTGTTATATTGCCTTGTTTTTGACTTGTCACAAGGCAGGACATTAAGTTGAGGGGCTTGATCTTGCTGCTATATACAATATACTAGGGGATTTTGAGAGGGCACCAGGAAACATCTCAGGCATGTTGAGATAAACAACATGCATGTTGGGGTGTTCTTCAAAAACGGGACTAACACATATAGAAATTTTCACTAATGTTAACTGGTAGGATATGTAACAGATCCTAAAACCACATTGAGGTATTGCTCATTCATGTGAGGAAATTTAGATATATGGAGAAGCAAAAAAGCAATCTTTTTGTTGCTTAGAGCGATGCTGAAGAAGAATTCAAGACCACGGGCAAGAGTATTTGTGAAGGCATGTCGCTTAAATGCATTCACAAAGATATACAAATTTTCACTACAAAACCTACGATAATAAGATGTGGCAATCAAACTACTATTAGCGTTGCTAAAAACTAAGTCCATCATGATCAAATTACGTATGCTGGAATTAATAGACACTTCAAAAAGGAGATTTATTGACCCAGGCAGGAATCATCCAAATGAATTAAACTCCAACAAAACTAGCTTCAACCTTACATTAAAAATAAGAATGATCAACATATATTCTCAGCTTGAGCAAAAGTATAAAAATCATGCTCTCACATCTCCTTATGCCAGCAATGCCAAAGCAGCCAGCGGAAGCCAATGTCAACTGCTGCCAGGGTGCACTAATGCCTGTTACTATCTCTGGCTTAGATGCACTCCCTACGAGCCCACTAGTTGACTTCACCAACCACATGATCTTCCAACTCAACAATCTGCACCCTCTTAACATCCAGATATAGTCTTATAGCTCACCAATTAGCATCCTCCTGCCTTTTATATGCAATCCACCAGCTTAGCAATCTGCACCATCTTACCTTTCATATACAATACCAACCAGTAGGTTTATTGTACATTTGATATATTCTATATTTATTGAATAAATGTTGATTTCCTTATAATTGATTAGGTTAATTACAATCCTATTTTTTCCTTCTTTTTGTTTATGTTTCACCTATAAATTGTGTGTCTATTCTACCCATTAAAATAAAATATAAAGAAGTCTTCTTCTCTCATATTTTAACATTTAAAGAAAATTTGTCATTGCATTATTGATAAAGTAAAACATAAAATGATTTTTAATTGAGAACTATAGCCAGTAGGAACACTAAGAAGTAAAGTAAAACACAGATTTAACCTGTTGGCAGTAGAATCAAATTAATATTATTGGTTCAATTCAACAGTAACGTGGAATATATGATATGAACAACTTAAATTCGTTACAACATTATTAAGCTAAGCCCTCCTTTGTTGCTCTAACTTGCCTGAATAAAATCTATAGATCCTGAGCCAGCTACAAAATAGTTGGAGATTCCAAAACGGCCAAAATCGATGTACCCCTACACGATAAAGAAGACAAAATGTCAATAGCAATGTCAATTAAAAGAAGAAAAGTTGCCAAAATTAGTGGTCACAGCAATAGTTGTTAATCATATTTTGTTCATAAAGCACTAGACTGCACCCAAAAAACCAAGCAAATGAATTTGCAAAGAACTGCATTCCTGTGCCCAATAAATCATGATTTTCTATAGAAGTTTCAAACAACAACAATAACATCAAGCCTTTCTCCCACTATGTGGGGTCCGCTATATGAAACATTTTCTCTATTGTGTCCTATTAAGAGTCCAATCCTCGTTTAAATATAATAAAAAAAATGTCATTCCTAATATTTTTTAACCAAGTCTTTTTAGTTCTATCACTACCTTTCTTAACATAAGTCAAATCTAATACATCTAATTTCCTAATCGGGTCATCGGAAGGCCGGTGTTTTATGTGGCCAAACCATCTAAGGAGACTCTCTAATCTTATCTTCCACTAGAGCTATTCCAACTTTTTCACGTATATGCTCATTTCGTATCATGTCTCTAGGAGTAAAGTCACTCAATACCATGCCTTAGTTGGAAATATTTTACTCTTAGTTTCATATATTCTACATTTATTGTATCATGTCTCTGAGAGTAAAGTCGCTCATCCACATTAACATCATCATCTCTGCAACATTAAACTTAATATTATGCTTCTCTTTCTATAGAAGTTTCCCTTTGTGGGAAAAAAGGAAATACTATTCGTTAAACAAAAAAAAAGAGGGGGGGAGGTTCTCATCATCCGTCTTGTCAGCTCAGTCAAACAAATGAATCACAAAATAATATACAGATTCCCATTCTGTTTCTATTCATGCACGTGAAACTAAATAGCAGCAACTTATGAAACTTAAATGAAAGAAAGCTTTCTTTCCTGTCCATTTGAAAGTCAAATGCATTGGGATCAAGAATAATATAAAAGAATGAACAAACAGAGATGTTCACTTTCAGAACACCGTCATGGTAATTTTCCATACATCCACATTTTTTGTTGAAAAATAATTTAGACCAACTGGCATGCCAATATAACATATTTGTGATATACATTACCTTATAAAGTTCAATTTCTTGTACCATTCAATACCACAAACTTTGTCCTTTACAAATAAAATCTAGTCAAATGGCTATGCTCATGATTATACCAAGCTTTAAATTGGATCTGTTGTATACAAATCCACAACATAACCAACATTCTTCCAAGAGCTTGGACAGCAGTATAAATCATTAAGAGATGGAAATAAAGAGCTCCGAATCTTTGCCCCATCATCTTAAAATAATGCAGCAAAAAAAACATATCCAGTAAAAAAACAAAAACTTCAACTGGTGCTAATTCAATGACCAGAGGCTGTGCATCATACCATCTGAGATCGGAATTCCACATCTTTACAAAATCGCACAACCAAATCACCATCCTGCATTGTGGCCAGATACAGATCGTTAGATGCATATCTTGTGCATAAAAATAGGGATGGTACGTATAGCCATTGCAACCCTTCCAAGCATTCATCTAGAGCAAAACAGAATATATCCAGAAAAATAACAATGAAAGCGTCATAATACGGAAACTTGCAATCAGTAAACAATTATAAAAATAGGAACTTCACAAAGGAATGAAGGTGGGAGAAAAATGACACATATAATGCACATGTAACAATAAATCCATGATTGAACCAGCAAAAAATTGGCAAGAAAAATACGAACAATTTTTGTGGAGTTAGCAAGAAACGTCAAAATTAGGGGTATATCAAAACGGGAATTCGGGTTGAACCTGGGCTTGACCCGGGTCCAATTCAACTGACACGAATCCTACCCAATTTTGCAAACAGGTCAGAAATTTAGACCCAGACCAAACCCGTCGAGTTACAGGGTTGACCCGACCCGACCTGCTAACACGGTTTGGAAACAGGTCGAGCACGAACGAGAGTGAGCTAGTGCGAGCAAGCATAGGTGCGGCTATGCGGGGCGAGTGCCAGCATGCAGCACGGCGACAATGCGGGACTGCGCGAGCGGGAAAGGGCGGAGGACGGGCTGGACTTGGCAGGCACGGGACCGCACAAGTGCATGTGCGATGCATGTGCATGGGCAAGGACTATCTAGCAGGACCGTGCGGAGTGTTGTGCGCAAGTGCAGGCGAGACGACATGACAGGCGAGACGACATGAATGGACAGGTGAAACTAACTCAGGTCAAATACGGGTTATGGGTTGACCCGAACCCAACCCATTTGTTAAACGGGTCGACTCAAACCCATATTTTTTGGGTCGAGTCAATAACCCCTATTCAGAATATTCTGTTTGACTATAGTGAGTGTAGATATTGTACGATAATGAAGTCTAGTTGATCAAACTTGACAAATACAAGCCCTCATGTGATTAAAAGAATGAGAATAAAAGGTTGAAGGCAAACTTGAATTATGGAGGTCAACCTTAAAGTTTAGAGGATTTCATTTGAGTAGATATAAACTGAATAAATAGAGTATAATTTTAGTAATAATAGTTCTTATGGGGGATTGTGACTTTGGGTGATCAAGTCATTAATAAGAGTACATGTTTTAGATGTCTTCGGTCTATTGTTAAAAGTGATGTTGAAATAGATGGGAACATTATTAGTAGAATTCAAGTTGAATGGCTAAAGTGGAGGAATGCATCGGGCTTATTGTGTGATAGAAAATTCCCCCTAAAACTTAAGGGAAAATTCTATAAGATGGTGGTTAGACCTGCAATGCTTTACAGTGCAGAATGTTGGCCATTAAAAGAGAAAAACATAATATTAGGTTAAGTGTTGTAGAGATGAGCATGCTCAGGTGGATGAGTGGCTTTACTCTTAGAGACAGGATACGAAATGAGCATATACATGAAAAGGTTGGAGTAGCTCCAATGGAAGATAAGATTAGAGAGAGTTGCCTTAGATGGTTTGGTCACATAAGACGAAGGCCTTCCGATGACCCGATTAGGAAAGTAGATGTATTAGATGTTAAAAACGATATAGGTAGACCTAAAAGATTTGGTTAGAAAATATTAGAAATGACCTTTCTCTGTTAGATTTAAATGAGAATTTAACTTTGAACATGGCACAATGGAGAAAAAGAATTCATGTAGCCGACTCCACATAGAGGGAAAAATGCTTGATGTTGTTGTTGTTGTTGTTGTTGTCAGAAACTTAGACATCTAATCATAATAAATTCATAGGCTTAATAAAAATTGATAAATGAAAGAGAACATAATTAATAAATGAAGTATCTATATGAATAAATTCAAGATTGGACATTTAAATCAATAAATGACATGATCTTGTTCTATATATGACATTGTATCAAGCATTCTATATTACTTGTTCATGTGAGCATACATATGTTAATTTATTTTTATAAATAACTAATAAATTTAGTGATAAATCATATGTACATGCATATTGTTCATTATTTTTATATTAAATTATGTACTAAAATTATATATCTTTTTTAGTCTCATAGCTCATCAGATTTTTATTCTAACTATTTTTATAAAAAAGGAAAAAGATAAGATTGATGAAGCCAACTAGAAACAGATCAATTTAAAACTTATATTTTATTATATAGCTGTGTAAGATGAATCATGAGTAGAGGTATATGAGCTATTTGTTATGAAAATATTTTTGGATTGTTAGTTGCTCAGTAATTATACACACACGTTATAAATAGAATATTTTGGATGCTTCCGCTTTATAGATGAATGTAGTGAAATATGTCATGAAAATTATTAGAAGGTTTATGAGTTATAGATGTTGAGCATCATATGTTTTCCTCTGTTACACTTGCGTCGATTGGTAGGGGGTCAGCATGCGGTGTGACACCTTTACCCCACTACAAGAGATCGGCTACATGAATCATTTATCTCCATTGCATCCTGTTAAGAGTCAAATTTTCATTTAAATCTAATGAAAAAATGTTATTTGTAATACTTTCTAAGTCTTTTTAGGTCTACTTCTATCTTTCTTAACATAGCTCGTATCTAATACATCTACTCACCTTACAGGTTCATCAAAAGATCGATGTTTTATGTGAACAAATCACCTAAGGCAACTCTCTCTAATATTATTTGCACTAGAGCTACTCTAATCTTGTCATGTATATACTTATTTCTCATTTTGTCTCTAAGTGTAAAGTCACTCATCCACCAGAGCATCATTAACTCTACAGCAACTAGCTATGACTTCCATTAATTCAATTACCTCCCCTCAAATGAGAGTCCTCCACTTAGGCCATCACTTTCCCTTAAACAAAAGCATTTCAATACCATCAAGTATTATGCATTAAAGCCCACTCAAAGACGTGGAGCCTTCAGTGGAGTCAAACAGTCTTGAATCTAGTTCAACTATAGAAGAAGTTGCCAAGCCTATGGGAGTTGCAAACTATTAGACGAGGAAATGGCTTCCATCTATTTGGCGGAACAGGGGCCTGTTTAATTGAGGTTGGGCCCAAAAGTCCAGCAGCAATTAAGGCCAGCAATTAAAAGGAACTTAAAGAGGGGATTAGAAGAGAAATTCAAATTATGAGGGCTATTTTGGCACTAACTATATTTTGTATATTTTAAATATATTATTTAACCTAGGGTTAGGTTTTATCTAGTGTTTGCAAAAATTTAGAGTGTTCTTAAGGAGTTTTGGGCTCTAGCCGCCGGCTAAAGATTTGGGAGAGCCGGATCCTCCTCTCCAATTGAGGATCCATTGTATCTTGTTCGTTTTCTTTCCTATTTCATCAATTGAAGAGAGTTTCTTTCGTTATCTTTCTACAAATAGCCTTGGACATTTTGTATTTGGATTACTGAAATTCAATTTTTGCTAAGGGGAATAGGATTTCTGCAACCACTTCCAATCAAAGTGGTATCAGAGCATTGTCCTGGGCAGAAATATAAGACTTCCTTGCTGATTTCAGCTGTGTTTTCCCCTCCGTATAGCTAAATTTGGTTTTTTGAGCGCCAAATCCGTTGTTTTTGGCTATTTTTTGCTTCCTATGGCGGGAAGAAAGATGGAAGCATTGGAGGAGGAGATTGAATAAATGAAATCTGAAATTAAAAATCTCCAAGCCCAAATTTTAGATTGCAAAACTCAAATTGCCGCCATCCATGAGAAGATCAATAAAAAATTTTCCATCCTTGAGGAGATGTTAAAGAAATTGCTCGAGGGTCAAACCAAAACATCTCCGATGAAGGTGAGGGAAGCCACCGACAGTCAAGGAAGTGGGGAAATCCCTAAGCAATTAAGGCGAAGAGAAGATCAAGAGGTGAAGATTTTGGAGGGAGCAGAAAAAATGCCTCCCCTAAATCCTATTCCTATGGAGGAGTCGGGTAAAAAGTGTGGAGAGGCGTGAGGGAGTTGGGCATGAGCAGAGGGATGTTGAATTGAAAGGAAAGGAGCTAAATTTAAAAGTCGAGGGCTTGATTATGATCGTAGGGATGTCAAATTTGAAATGATGGGGGCTGAATATGATCGACGGGGTGCTGAAATTGAAGGGAGAAAGTGGGCTTATGATAAAAGGTTTGGATACGAGCAGAGAATGGATGATTGGCACAATTACGAGGAACCACCCCCTTGGAGAATGGAAAACTTTTGAGGAAGTAGGGGTGACAAAGGAGATCTGAGGGTGAGGTAGCTAAATATGCCTATTTTTTAGAGAGATGATGCTTATGGGTGGATCTACAAGGTGAAAAGGTGCTTTACCATCAATAGGTTGACTAAGGAGGAAAGACTGACGTTAGCCGGGATATGCTTGGAGGGAAAAGCTCTAGCATGATATTAGAGGGATACGAGGAGACCTATATGGACCTGGAGGGAGTTTAAGGAATACTTATTGGAACATTTTCGAACCAGCAAGGAGGGGACTTCTATGAGCAATTCTTCGCCCTGACACAAGAGAGGACAGTTGTGGAGTACCGTGAGTAATTTGAGCACTTAGACAACCGACTTGACTAGATTTCGGAGATTATACTGGATGGGAACTTTATGAAAGGGCTCAAATTAGAGATTCGGGCGACAGTTAGAGTGATAAGGCCTCTTGATTTGGGAGAGGCTATGAAGCTAACCAGCTAGTGGAGGATCAGAGGGACCTGGAGAGAGGGGCTGGAGGCATCAGGTCAAGAGTTCCGTACAAGATGACCACCACCTTTTTAACATCCAAGGAGCCGACATCAGGTACTCTTAAGAGACCCTTAAAGAGAAGACTACAGGAAAAAGACCAGGGGAAAACTTCAAAAAATTCACAGAGACGGAGCTACATAAAAAGAGGGTGAAGGGGTTGAGTTTCAAATGTTAAGAGATAAATACACCGGGTTACAAGTGTAATGACCGAACTCTTCAGGTTCCCATTGTTTGTGATGAAGAGAAAGTTAAGGAGCCGACTTTCCACCATGCAGACAAGGTTGTCTTTGGGATGGGGGTATTGTTAGATGCCAAACAGGCGCCTGTTTGGCGGAACAGCATTCCGCCTGTTTAGGCGAAGCAGGCATCTATTTAATTGAGGTGGGGCTTAGCAGTCTAGCAGTAATTAAGGCCGGCAATTAAGAGGAACTTAAAGAGGGGATTATGAGGGAAATTCAAATTATGAGGGCTGTTTTGGCATTAACTATATTTTGTATGTTTTAAATACATTTTTTAACCTAGAGTTAGGTTTTATCTTGTGTTTGCTAAAAATTAGAGTGTTCTTAGGGAGTTTTGGGCTCTAGCCACCGGCTAGAGATTTGGTGGAGCCGAGTCCTCCTCTCCAATTGAAAATCCATTATATCTTGTTCGTTTTCTTCCCTATTTCATCAATTAAAGAGCGTTTTCTTCCGTTATCTTTCTACAAATAGCCTTGGAGATTGTATTTGGATTGCTGAAATTCAATTTCAGCCAAGGGGAATTGGATTTCTGCAACCACTTCCTATCACAAACTACATGGAATACTTGATTCTAGCCAAAAAAGCTTCAGCTAATTAGATAAGGGAAATTCTTAGCATATTAAGAACTTAAAGTTTGTCTTCAACTAAAAGGAATAGAGGTCATGAATTTGCCATGCTATTCAGATTTTTGTTAGACCAGTCCAATGGACTGGTCCAGCCAGTCCATGCGGGACCGGCCCAGGCGCGAACGAGGCGAAACGCCTCCGCCTCCTGCTTTAACCGCACGCACCACAGGATGTAACGAAGCATTTTAGGAAGGATTTTTTAGGGATTTGGAAGAGAAATTTAAATGTAGGGACTGTTTAGGGATTTCCTTTTGATTTGTATGCATTAAATACTTTGTTTTCCTAGGGTTAGGGCATCTTGAATTTGGTTGAAATTTGAGATCTTCTAGATTTAGGTTTTCTTTGAACTCTAGCGGCATCTAGAGATTTGGGAGAGATCGATCCTCCTCTCGAATAGAGGATCAATTGTATCTTGATATTTTTCGTTTCTATTTCATCAAATAATACAAATTATCCACTATTTTGGTGCGGCTTTTGTGGAGAATTCTCGCTGTTTTTCGAAGATTGATAGGAAATACTTGAGATCTACAAGTGTTTCCTATGAAATTGGTATCAGAGCAAGTCTTGGGACCGATGGAGGGCTGTTTTCGGCAAATCCAGCAACTGTTTTTGGTCCGGAAAAGAGGGAAGTTACTATTTTTGGAATTCCAAATTCAGATTTTGTGAATCTACAAACTCTAGATAATGATGGCGGCCAAGAAGGTGAATTCTTTGGAAGAAAGGCTTGAAGGGGATATGAATCAAATCAAGACAACGGTGGAGGAAAGGATTTCCTCCATGGAAGGACAAGTAGCCGATCTCTGGGACATGATGAAGAAAATGTTGGAAATCCACAACCAAACGGCGGCTTCCGTGGCAAAAGGTGTGGAAGGGAAAAGCACGAACTCTGAAATCCGTAAGAAGGAAGATGAGGTGGAAATCATGGAAGGAGAAAGAAGTAGACCCCATCTGGAGCATGTCCAGAGGGAAGAAAGAGGAGGTGGATATGGGGAATGCCAGGAGGAAAACTATGGCCGCCGAGGTGCTGATTTTGAAGAAAGAAGGAGGGACTTCGAAGGGGGTTTGGGCTATGACAGGGCAAGGGAAGACCAGGAGACATGGGGAGGGTTGAGCACTTGGGAGAGGGGAAGCTATAGAAGAATAAGGGGGAATAGTGGCGATCAGAAGATGAGGAAGCTGAAGATGCCCATATTTGAAGGGGAGGATGTGTATGGGTGGATTTATAAGGTGGAGAGATACTTCGCCGTCAATGGGCTGATGGAGGAGGAGAAGCTGGTAGCAACAGGCTTGTGCTTAGAAGGGAAGGTTCTGTCAGGGTACCAATGGAGAGACCAAATGAAAAATATCAGGAACTGGAGGGAATTCAAGGGTTGCATAATAGAACGCTTCCAAACCGACCGGTGGGAGATTTCTATGAGCAATTCTTTGCTCTGACGCAGGAGGGATCAATAGTAGACTACCGGGAGCGGTTTGAGCACTTGGAAAGTAGGGTGGAGCGATTATCATATATTATACTAGAGGGGAACTTCATGAAGGGGCTAAAGGCAGAAATCATAGCGGCAGTAAAAGTCCTGATGTCGCGGGACTTGGGGGAGGCCATGAAGTTAGCACAGCTAGTTGAAAATCAGAAAAATCTAGAGAAGGGAGCTATGAGCAGCAACTCAGGAGGCACTTATAGGACGACGACCACTCTTCTAGCACCCAAGAGGCTTACATTAGGCAATATTAATGAAACCACCAGGGAGAAGCTAGTAGGAGGAGGGAGAGGGAAATTTTTCAAGAGGCTGACATAGAAGGAGATGCAGGAGAAGAGAGTAAAGGGGTTATGTTTCCTGTGTGATGAGAAGTATACTCCAGGGCATAGGTGTAGGGATCAAACTCTTCAGGTTCTCGCCGTCTGCGATGACGAGGAAACTGAGGAGGGAGGTGAACGAGAGATGGATGTCAAGTTGCATCTGGATGTGGTGGAGGTCTCCCTGAATTCAGTAGTAGGAATCACTTCGAATCATACGATGAAGGTTAAGGGGGAAATAATAGGTATGGAGGGGGTAGTATTGATTGACAGTGGGGCTACCCATAATTTTATTTTCACTCAGGTAGTCAACCAACTGGGAGTGAAACTGGTGGACACCGACTATTATGGGATGATGATGGATACAGGGAAGGTGGAGAAAGGCCATGGGATCTGTAGAGGAGTGGTGTTAACAATACAGGAGATTCAAGTAAGGGAGGAATTTCTCCCACTAGAGTTAGGAAGTAGTGATGTCATCCTAGGGATGAAGTTGTTGCAAACCTTGAGGGAAATCAAGGACAATTGAGGAGCACTCACGATGGAATTAATGGTGGATGGGAGAAATGTGGTTATAAGGGGAGAAGCAGAGCTATCCAAAGTCATGGTATCACTTAAGACCATGGTTAGGAGCCTACAAGAGGTGAAGGAAGATTATTTGATGGGACTACACATACTGGATGTGATCAGGATGGAGGAGGGAGGGGATGTTTCTCTTTCAATACAACCCTTGATTCAACAATTTGGTAAGGATTTTCAGCCACGTCAAGGATGGCCACCTCCACGGGAACATGAGCATATCTCCACCTTGAGGACAAGGTGGATCTTTGGGAGGGGAGTATTGTTAAATTGGTCCATTGGACCGGTCCAGCTGGTCTACGTGGGACCGGCCCAAGCGCAAACAAGGTGAAACGCCTCCGCCTCCTGCTTTAGTCGCACGCACCGCAAGATCTAACGAAGCATTTTAGGAAAGATTTTTTAGGGATTTGGGAGAGAAATTTGAATGTAGGGACTATTTAGGGATTTCCTTTTGATTTGTATGCATTAAATACTTTGTTTTCCTAGGGCTAGGGAATCTGGAATTTGGCTGAAATTCGAGATCTCCTAGATTTAGGTTTTCTTTGGGCTCTAGCGGCATTTAGAGATTTGGGAGAGATCGATCCTCCTCTCGAATAGAGGATCAATTGAATCTTGATATTTTTCGTTTCTATTTCACCAAATAATACAAATTATCCACTATTTTTTGTGATTTTGTGCGGTTTTTTGTGGAGAATTCTCGCTGTTTTCTGAAGATTTATAGGAAATACTTGAGATCTACAAGTGTTTCCTATCAATTTTCTCCCAGGTTCACATCTTTTTAGTTTTCTGCAATAAGAAAAAATTGCCAGAATATTCAACAACCCTCAGTTGACCAAAAACAGACAAAATAATACAAATATAAGGATCCTATCTAAAAAGCACCAAAGATTATTATTTCATGACGTTACCTGCCCTTCATGTGTAAGAACATGACCAATCCAATCTGTCTGAAAAATAGATTAAGAAAAACTAGAAAAGCAAAATATGAATGAACACATTACATGAAACTATCGAAAAGCATTGACTTTTCAGCCAGATGAACGTGTAGGATACAAAATCAACAAGGCGGCTGCTGTTATCAAGGGCATAACAGTTGGAAAGAGGTACCGTCACTGAAGCAGTAAAAGGTGAATACAAACATATCGCTGTTAAGAAGAAAACAGCGATAAAAAACAAGAATGCTTAGAAAAATTGATATAAAAAATTTCATGAATAAAGAAAACGACAAATAATTCTTACATTTAAATATCATATATGTCTTGTAATGAGAATTTGATTCACTTATGCAATTAATTTTTCACCTGGGTGGTCAAAAGTCTACAAGGCTACAAACACCTTAGTAAGATATAGGACCGATACACTTGGCATTATTGAAGTTTTAACAGGGAAAATTCAGAGTTTGGTCTATTAAGCAAGTGTAAATTGATTGAAACTACTTGGTTTTGTCTGAAACAAGCCAATTATAAACAATTCAAAACTAAGGTGCAACTTGAGAGACTATGTTCAGCAAGTTTATCCTGTCCTAAGATCATGTTCCATGATATATTCAACTAACAACAACAACAACAACATTAAGCCTTTTATCCCACTATGTGGGTTAGCTACATTATCTATTTTCTTTATTATGTCTTGTTAAGAGTCAAATTCTGAATTAAATCTAATAAAGAAAAGCTCATTTCTAATAATTTCTAACCAAGTCTTTTTAGGTCTACCTTTGTCTTTCTTAACATAGGTCAAATCTAACACATCTATTCTCCTAACTGGGTCGTTTTATATAACCAGACCATCTAAGGCGACTCTCTCTAATCTTATCTACCACTTAAGCTACTCCAACCTTTTCACATATATACTCGTTTCACAAGCTCTAATAGTGAAGCTACTCGTGCACCTGAGCATCTTCATCTCATCTCTACAATACATAACTTAATTTTATGCATATCTTTTAATGGCCAACATTCTACGTTATAAAGCATTGCAATTCTTGGGTCTATTGATCAGAGTGATGGTGAAATAGATGGGGATATTATTAGTAGAATTCAAGTTTAATGGTTGAGGTGGAGGAATGCATCGGGCTTGTTGTGTGATAAAAAAGTCCACCTCAAACTTAAGAGAAAATTATATAAGATGATGGTGAGACATGCAATGCTTTATGTTGCAGAATGTTAGCCATCAAAAGAGAAGCATAATATTAAGTTAAGTGTTGCGGAGATGAGGATGCTCAGGTCCATGAGTGGCTTTACTCTTAGAGATGGGATACAAAATGATCATATACGTGAAAAAGTTAGAGTAGCTCCAAGATAAGATTAGAGAGAGTCTCCTTAGATGGTTTGGTCACATAAAACGGCAGCCTTCCGGTGACCCGATTAGGAAAGTAGATGTATTAGATTTGACTTATGTTAACAAAGGTATAGGTACACCTAAAAAGACTTGGTTATATCATATTAGAAATGGCCTTTTTTTATTAGATTTAAATGAGAATTTGACTTTTAACATGACACAATGGAGAAAAATGATTCATGCAGTCGACCCTACAGTGGGATAAATGCTTGATGTTGTTGTTGTTGTTGTACTTTCATCATTGAAAGCGACACATTCCTTTCTCAATTTCCTAACATAAACCTAACAAATTGCAACTGGTAAGCTAGTAAAGTTAGAACCAAAACAGTTCTCTTGGAAGTTTGTGATGGAAGAATTATAAAATTAAGTCCAGCCAACGCTATAACTTCCTCATGTTTCATACCTCACAATATTTTAGGCATAATATTGTCGATCAAATAAAAAAAACTATGTATTATTAAATATTTTATTTATTCCGCTAAATCCAAATATTACAAAAGGATAGTTAACCGAATATATCTATGTTTTTGTTGCTTGAAGAATTAAGAAAAGAAATAGTTGATAAATAAAAGAATTCCTCACTTAGATATTTATCTTAAAAGGAATAGCCAACGGAAAAGAAGAAAAAACTAAACATCTGGAAATTCAGACAACTAAGTCTTGGTACAAGTCCTAAACATGATGGAAATCAAGTAGGACACAGATTGAGATATTGAAGTATACTGAATGTATTTACCTACAAAAGCAGACCCAATCAGGCAGTAACGTGATCTACTGCACAGCTTATCTCCAACGTGCATCATTTCCACCAGGCCTACATGCACATATAAGAGTTTATAAGAAATAAGATCTTTCGCCTAAATATAAAATTTATTACCCAGATATACTACATTTTACCAAAATGTAAGGTTTTTGACCAAACATAATTTTTATCAAGATAACATAGTTTGCTCGCATATGATTTGTTTAATGCATTTATAACATGCTTAATCGAACTATAGAAATTTTTTAAGCTTAATAACTGTAAATTTGAATTTAATCATATTTATGCAGCTGATTTGGTCCCAATTACTTCTTCTTTTTTTAAGCATGGCATTATTCTAACCTTCCCATAACTTTGACACTCACATTTTACATTCTGGGGTTGTTTGGATGCAGGATTATGCAGGATTTGAGAAGGATTTATGCTAAATCCTTCCAAACAGGATTTAAGGAACTGTTAAATTTCACAGCGAGACAAATCCTCATTTCACTCCTTTTGCCGTAAATCCCGGATTTACTAAATCCGGGAGTTCGGCGGATAGAAGAGATTTTTCCGAAGAAGAGCGCATAAGGAAGAAAGATGGCTACCTTCGCAACGAGCAAGCTCCCGTCGTCGTCGTCGTTACTTCCGATCTAGGAGGTGTGACATCGGAACCAACAGGAAGGAACGTCGTCGAAGGAGGCGAAGTTATTTAGCGATTCGTTCGCGAAGCAGGCGAAGTCGAAGAGCAACGAACAGCTGGAGAAAGACGAAAAGCAAACCCGGCTATAAGAAGAATTGCCATAAGATAAGAACTAAGAACAAATTAATTTAGTTTCACTATTTTAAAATTAATTAAGAATATAATATAATTAAGGATTGATTAATTGATAATGAATTTAGATAATTATTTATAAGGATTAGTCTTTAAATTTATAATTAATAACTAATTCATATATAATTAAAATTAATTAATTGTATCATAATTAATTTGCTTTTTAATTATATTATTTTTATAATTATAGTTCATAGATTTAAAATTAGAATTAATAAATAATTTATGCAAAGAAAAAAATTTTGACTTAATTTGGGATTGTTTCTTAAGATAATTTTTTAGTACAAATTTAATTTTTTTTATTAAAAAATTACTTTAATAACCGAATAAGTCATAATATACAAAACGTATATGCAGAAGAATCTTAGTATATGGATCAACTCGTACAAATGACCTGCTAGTGATTAAGAACAAAATCCAATGAGGAAGAGGTTGCTTGGAAAAATCAAATGAAAAATATCTCAGAATATATTTATAGATTTTATTATATAATGACCCCGCTGCTCCCGGATGAGAGTAGCAGCACAAATTAAAAAAAAAAAAAAACGGAAGTAAAGGCAAAATGCTATGTTAATTAACCTTTTGTGCAGTACGTAGGTGATCTTGATATATTGATTCAGAGAATTTTTACAGCCAATCAAAAAGTTTTGAATTCGAAACTTAGATGACACAGGAAAAAGTGCTTATGAACGGCATTGTTTTACTCTGGTTAATTTTTTTATTCTAACGCTTCCATCAGAAATATCAATGTAAATGAAGCTCCTTTCTAAAAATTATCAGCTCCAAATCATGCGCGGAGCCAGTCTTGGTTTGAAATTTAAAATCGCATTATTTCTCGCTCTCTCTCTCTCTCTCACTTGCGCGACTGATCCCTCTCGTCCCAAAACGTAAACCCTAGAAAAATGTCGTCCAGGCTCAAGGAAAGGGGAGGAGCGGGTGGAAAGATCATCGCTTGTAAGACCTCAAAAACCCTTCCGCTTCACAATCGCCAAGATAAGCCCAGATCGCAGAGTATTCCCCTCGCTGCAGCCCAAAAAGAGCTCCCAAGACTCGTCTCAGCCTCTCGATACTCGATCCCTCGGTTTGACCATCATGGTAAGGAGAATCCACGCCCCATCTCTGCTGGTCGTCCATCTATGGCCTGCTGCTCCACCGGAAATGATAAACCGAGACCCCTCTCAGCCGGCCGGGCTACTGTTGCTCGTTCTGATAACCCGCTTCCCAAGCATGCTGAGAAGTCTGTAGCTGCCGTCCTACGCTCTACATCTTCCCTTTCCAGAGGTAAAGTTGCTGACTTTCATGGCGATGCCATCACTAGAATTTCTAGCTTCGGGGAAAGGAGAAGCTTTTCTGGATTTAGGGCTTTTGATAAGGAACTGGCGGCAAAAGCCCAACTGGGTAAGAACCCTGGTGTAAAGAGTGAGAAATATGTGAACTTGATGAGAGGAGTTACAGATGGTTGCAAATCTAAAGGGTGCTTGGGGGCAAAACCTCAGCGGAGTTCTTATGAGGCTTTAAAGAAAGTTGGTCGCAAAGCTGAAGAACCATATATTGGTCCATCTGATTCTCACAACAGTGTCGGTAAAGATTTTTCTGGTCCTAACATGGAGCCAGTGGATAGGATTGGGAGCAATGAGGTAGGGGGTTTAGAAAGTCATGGAGAAAAAGTTTTCTTGGTTGAGGTAAAGCACATTGATAAATGTGGTCAGGGAGATGAAACAGCGGGAATTGACAATGATGAAGTGAGAAAAGCTCGGAGTTCTATGACCATAGATGTGAAGCCATTTAACAACTCTGAAAACAAGGGAACGTTGGATTTGGTCTCTAAAAGCCTCTGCAAGACGGGAGGGGTCTGTGTTGATAATACATCAGTTCATATGGAAAAAAATTGCTTGAATTCACAGCCAGACGATAATGCCAATGCTTCAAATGATTTTGGTAATTCCCAAGGTGAACTTGCAAACACTTCTTTGATTCGTGTGCATCATAGAAAAGAAGCAGTGCAACTAGATATTGAAGCAGTAAAGGCTAAGGGAAATGATGGGTTGGGATCTGTGAAAGATGCTTGTACTGCTAATAGATATCAGAGCAACCTTCATGAGAAGCTTGCACTATTAGAAGGAAAGGTTCAAAAAATAGCTTTGGAGATAAAGCAAACCAAAGACATGTTAGATAAGAACAAGCCAGGTAAATCTGGGCTTGTTCTTTCTGATATCCAGAAGAAAATACTTGGTGTTGAAAAAGCTGTGGATAACATCAAGGATGGGGCCAAATTTGAAATTCTTTCTTCATATTCAGGCAAATTTGACGATTGTGGAATTTCAAATCTTACAGAGATACCAAGGAATTCATTACCTTCTATTAAAAGCTCGGAACATGAAAAACTGGAAGCTAGATTCTTCCCACATCACAAGTTAATGAGGGAACGCATTTCATCAGTCATCTCAGGGGAACAAATTAAGTGCTGTAAAGTAGCTTATTCAAGGATGAATGGAGCCCAAAATATATCTGATGGTTTCAATGATGAAAACCCCATTGCGCTAGAGTTTTTGGCTTCTTTAAGAGAAGAACAACCTAAACCTAAAAAGTTTGATGTAAACGTGCAATTAACTAATGGCATGGCAAACAAAATGCAACCAGAGAATACATCATCAGGCCAATGTGATGCAAGCAGCATGATTAGAGGGCAGCAACAGGAGGTTGCACTGGAGTCTAATGAAAAACTTGAAGAAATCGGTACTCCCGAGAATAATCCTCCGTCAATGTCATGCGTAGCTACTGAGGATTCTACCATTTATCAGCTTTCTGAAATTGGTCAGAAGGTTTCAACTGGAGGATGGTTTGTTTCTGGAGGAGAAGCTGTTCTTCTTGCTCATGATGATAATTCTTGCTCCTACTATGACATTTCCAACTCTGAGGTACCTCATCTATAACAAAAATCCCTTGTTATTTTTTTCCAAATTATTTTTTATAAATTACAGTTCCATCTAAAAGTTATTTTTTGATCGTTCTTCCTTCAAAGGAGAAATTTACTTTCATTTCAGTATATTGTCAATTCATTTCAAATTGCATTTGCTCTTACGTTTTGTCAGCAGTTTGTCTTTCTATATTGCCATGTACAATATTCTATGATAATCATATGTACCCTAAGGTTCAAAAATTGCTTATGCCTGCACCAGGTGAAGTCTGAATACAAGGCCCCAGCTGGCTTTCCAACTAATTTATGGGGTGATTGTTGGTTAATTCGTGCCCCTGGAATAGATGGATGCTCTGGACAATATGTTGTTGCAGCATCAGCAGGAAATGCATTAGAGTCTGGATTTTGTTCCTGGGACTTCTACACAAAAGATGTTAAAGCTTTTCTAGTTGTTGGGGGAAAGGATAATAGTTTCTCAGGCTCATCAAGTAGAACTGGATTTACTTCAATGGCCGCCAGAAGTTCCCTTAGGACATCATCATTATTGGAAAGTCAATCTTGTTGGTGCAGGCCATGTGGACCATTGTTGATCTCCACATTCAGCAGGCAGAAGGTTGTCAATGCTTATGATATTCGTGATGGTGATTTGGTAATGACATGGGAAGTGAACAATCCTGTTGCTGAAATGGAATACTCAAGCCCTCTCCAATGGAGAAACAAGGGGAAGGTGATCATAGCAGAAAGGGAAGCCATTACTCTTTGGGATGTCAATTCACTCAATCCACAGCCAACTCTTTCTGTACCTTTTGTTGGCAAAAAATTCTATTCCCTTCATGTGAATAACACAGATGCTGAGATAGGTGCTGGTGTCCGGCAGAGGTAATTTTTTTTTTTTTTCTTTGGTGCCATTTCTTTCTATATCTTTTTATTATTTTTGTTCTCATATGTTGTCAAATTTGGACAATTTTTTGTCCTTTTTTTATTAAGAAAGATGCTTCACCTCATGCTTGCTAATGCATAATTTGAATAGTTTTCATTTCTACAAGTTTTACCATTTTCCCTCAGGTAGTTATAATGATTTGGACAATTTTAGATCTTTATTACTAATGCAATACTAAAAGTTTTCTCTTATTTTGACTTACAGATGTTGAAGTTATTGATTGTTTGAATAAATAATAACACAACGGTCATTCTAGATAATATAATATCATTTTAATAAGATGAAATTTAGTCAAGCAAATAGCATTTGATAGATAAAGTTATGTAAATAACACTTATTTAAATTACGCCGCTATCTAAATAACTTTGGACCAAACATGGCAGTAATTTATTGAGCTGATTAAGCTTACATTATTGTCTAGACTTCCAATGCTTGAGTGCAATCTGCTAAGTATTTCTATTTCTAACAATCCTAATTGCATTTGATGCAGAGCAAGCTCTACTGAAGTGGAGGGTAATGACGGTGTTTTATGCACTCAGGATGGTGTCAATGTGTTTGATTTTAGAATCCCTTCTGGTGTAGGACTTAAGATATCCAGGCATGGTGGTGATGGTCTCTCTATCTTCTCCCGCAGTGACTCCATTTTTCTTGGGAGCACTGAAGGAAGATTATCCGCGAGGAGCAGCAGTCCACGCTCGCTTATTGAGCATTTTTCGCTCCGGAAAGGCAGTCTCATCACCACCTATATGATGCCAGGATTTAATTCTCATTATCATCACTCTTCAATCACTCAGGTTTGGGGAAACTCAGATTTTGTTATGGGCATATGTGGAATGGGCCTTTTTGTGTTTGATGCTTTGAATGACAGTGGAGACACAGATGTGGTGAAGGAAACTATTGGTCCCGATGATTTATTTCGTCCAACATTTGATTATATGGAGTCAAGAGCACTTGTTATATCAAGGGATCGACCAGCATTTTGGAAGTATCTACTATAGATTTTGCAACAATTAGATTTGTACGTGCATGTGATTATCTTGTAGCAGTTAATGTATTTTTATGTGCTTCAGTTTGAGAGGGAGCAGCTTGCTTCTTCTCTCTAGTCGTATGAATGTAAAACTTTAGCCTATATTTCATATTATGCAGAAATTTTGCCTTTTTTTTTCTTTATGATATGATTACTATGCAAGCTCTGTTGATTTCTTTTGCTCAAGTGAAGCTGAAATTAGCACCATTTTTTCATTAGAAATTTGACTACTCGAAGGTTTTGATGAAATTTCAATTAAATTTTCCAAGTTTTGGTGGAAATCTTTATGTTTTATCTAAAATTGTATCAAAAGTGTCATTGGATTATTAATCTTCATATGGTTATCTCCACTCAATTTCATGTCCAATTTAAGTGTTAAAAATACTAATTTGGACTGCTCTTCTGATGCGCAAGTTTTTTATTCTTCATCGTATATCTAAGGTGGCTGGATGTGCTTAGATCTTATTGTGTTCCTGGGAACAAACTAATATAAATTTAATGAAATTACGCAAAACATACAAATTTTGATGAATAATGTGCACTGACCATTTGAAGCTATTTAATATTAAATCATTGTTTTTAATATATTTATATATAAATTATGCGGCCCAAACAAATAAAGAGGCAAATCCTCAGAGATAATTAGTGCATGGTAACGCTCCTTCAATCTGATCCTCTAAAACCACGTAGTTTTCTTCATACCAAACAAGGGATTATTAGGTGAACATGGAAACTTTATTGGATTAAATGATAATACAAAAAGAAACAAAAAAATCACTCTGTACATTGTAAAGAAAACTCATCAAAATTGTAATTTACAAAGTCTTGAAAAGGTAATTCAGGCAGAACGGTTCTGTAGAACTTGTTTGAAAACTGAAGCTATTCTTTCACTCATGTGATGTTCCATGAACCTTTCTTTCACCCTCCTGTAGCCTTCTTTCCCCATGCTCAGCCTTCTCTCAACATGAGTGGCAAGCGTTACAATGTTCTTTGCTAATGGACCAACTCCCTCCTTGCCCACAGGATGAAGCAAACCGGTCAATCCATCAACAATTATTTCAGTAGTGCCACCAGCTGCTGTGCCCTATAAATCAATCCATTTCATATAAATAAAATCATCTTAGAGCTCATGATTGCTTCTGAATAGGAAATATGTTTAAAAAAAATGATGATTTTATTTTTCAATTTAACCAACTTCATCATCTTTCGAAATATGATTTATAACTTCAAGCGACCAAATGAATCATTGTTAACTATGAAGAGCTAAATATTTCTCATTTGATGAGAGACTTACCAGTACTGGCAACTGAAATGACATAGCTTCTATGGTTATCCTCCCAAAGCATTCTCCTCGACCCTATAGAGCAGGAAGGGAGATTAGAAATCTGCATTGAGGACATCTAACACATTTATAATCCCAGGAACAGCAACAAGTGCATCTATGTTGATGTTCATTATATAAAAAGTGTCATTTCAACGAAAAAGTTTACGGAAGCATTAGCAAAAATAAATAGATAGTGGCAAACAAACGCAACCTGAAACTTCTCGTTAGTGAAGAACTCTGACCCTTACATTCAAGAGTCCTTTTGGTAAATAAATATGTTTTTGCTGAATATGTTTTGGTGCTTCTTAGTGCTTTTCAAAATCAAATAAAATCACAGATGCTCTACTAATGTGTTGCTAATGATCCTGAAACCAGTAAAATGATGCATAAACTATTTAAAATTGTGTCGCATGTTTCGATACAAATAAAAAATGTGATGTCATGTTTTTGAAAATTGAAATAGCTAAAAGAACCACCAAATGAAGACTCATAAATTAGATGATGCAGTACAACCATTCAAATCAAATAAGCCAGCCAAACACAAATTGGTTATAGGCTACTTAAAGGTGTTAAACCAGACCACTAAAGTGCTGAACAGAGCTCACATCCTTTTTTTGGGCCCATCATTATTTTTTATAAAATTTCTCTTATTCATGATTAGAATTTTTGTTAGATTTAATTATTCTCTTTGGATACAAGATTTTGTTAGAAAATATTAGAACTGACCTTTTTTTATTAGATTTAAATAAGAATTTAACTTTTAACCGATCATAATGGAGAAAAATAATTCATGTAGCCCAACCCCGCAGTGGGATAAAGGCTTTATGTTGTTGTTGTTGTTGGATATAAGTTTTAGCATTTTTTTATAAAGCTCTTAATAAAGACTGTAAATGAAATTTAAATATCATTTTAACGGTACTGACACTTAGTTGTTTTTTCTCCGTTAGGCATTTGAACAAACACTAGAAAGACAGTCAACATGCAGCTGAAAAAATATCAAACAGCAACTCGATATAGAAAGATTATTCAAGAATTCATGTAGAAAAAAGACATCAGTTGGGAAGCAGCTGTGCTGCTGCAACGACTACCTGGTTCTCCTGATGATAGCTAAGTGACCTCCAGAACAGCATGATGCAGCTCCGGGCTCTGGGCGGTGAATAGTGTAGTGAACCCGTCCCGCTCTGCTATATGCAGTCACTCATAGGATAAGGAGAAATGAGAGAGAGAACTGGAGCTTAGGTTTGCGAGCGAAAAACGGGATTTTGTGTTGATTTTCGTGAACTGAGTTTGGATTAAGGTTGACAGGCTTAAGGGGCTTGTAATACGAATCATCTTTTTAAGGTAACATGTAATTTTGATGTTATTATGAGTTAGAATTGTGATATATAAGTCAGGAATTGAGTTTAGTTGAGGAAATTATTATTTTATTATTTTGTTACTAAATGAAAGGGACTTCGATACAGTAAAAATAAAAAATAAAAAATTATTTCGAGGATCCAAAATTTACAGTGAGATACTAACTCTAATAAGGCAAAAATTTATTTATAAGCCTAGTAATGGCTAATTTTTACAATTATATTAGATTGTCATGTGCATGTGAATAAAAATATCTTTATACTGAGCAATTTAATGTTATCGAAAAGTCTACTGTATTCATCTATTATGCTACTAAAATGTTTTCCATTGCTTTAAGTTGTCACAGGCTTTTGAAATATCACATGTTTATATGACTTATTTGGTGTGGCATCACAATTTGTGTGTGTGTGTGTTAGCTTGCATCACTTAAAAGAGTTTTCCCTTTTATAAGCTCCTAAAGTTGACTTCATGTCACTGTAATTTCAGCATATCTGAACTGCAATACGTCAATGAAAATTGGTGTGGATATTTTTAAACAACTAAGATAAGTTTATCAAATCCACTCTAAAGTCCTGACGCTTCTCTTGGATAAGTTTGGCTGTGACGAACAACACCTTAAGGTGGCGGACATTAAAATTGATTCTTCATGTCATAAATTAATAGGTTCCAGGACAGTGTAAGAATTATTATTGCCCTCGCAAAGCTGTGATACACTACAAAAAATAAAATCCAGAAGCAGTAATAGGAGTTTTGAGGACGGATGAAACTATTCATTGAAAAGAAAAAGATCTTGGGGTGAAGTTGGTAATAAATAAGCTACTGTCTGAAGAATGGACGATAACTATACCTGAGAATTTTGAACAAGCACATCAATTGCAGCCAAGTACGGAGCAATTGTAAGCGTCTTATTGACAAAGTGAACTTTGTCCTGAATTCCTTGCCTTGCCACGAAGTTTCTTAGTTCTCCTTCAAACTTCGTCTGGGCATTCATATCACTGCCAACTACTACAGCATGAATTGCAGGCACTTCGAACTTCTGCTCTCGGATCAATTGAAGACTTTCATAAAATGACTGAAGGAATAAATCTTGTCCCTTTCCACGTGATACACCTGCAATTTTACAAAGAAACGTGAATATGTTTAATCAGAAAATTAGCATTACATCCTACTAGCCACTATCAAATTACAAGCTTATTTATACCTTCTAAGGATTTTGGAAGGTTAAAGTAAAATATCTATCTTGTATGGTCAAGTAAGTCTAAGGAAATAATGATTATTCTCACATACAAAGTAAGCATACGAGGTTTCCTCACCTACTTCGTACAAATATTCTTGTGATTATAAAGTTCTTTGAGTCGAAGTAAAGCAGCTGTCAAATATATATTTTTCAGATGGATTATAAGCAAATTGGCCAGAATATAAAAGCAAAATATAAACCTATAAGCGTCCTATGTTCATTTTCTTATACCAAACTCTTGGGTAAATTGAGGAAACAGTTATCAATAAAAATTAACAAGAAAATACTGTTTATAATGGCAATGAGGAGATCTTCGCTTCGAACTCCAAGTGATTCCCGTATGTGCTCCCGAAGAACCCGTTGGGCAAGATAATCTTCAGCAATTTCCATCAGTTCTTTGCTATTTCCAAGATGAACGGCATACGTTTTTGGCATGTGGATACTGCAAGTACAAACAAAACAGATGAAATTAAAGCAACATAATAAAAAATAAGATTACATATAAAAAAAGGACAGGAAGAAATGAGCAAGAGAAATGAAATTGGGATTCAAGGACGCAGAAGTTACCCAACATACACTACAACCATGCTCAGTCATTTGAAACTTTAGCTTTCCTTTAAATTATAGAAGGTTGAAATTTTAAGTTAGAACTTGTGCATTACTTAATATACTACAATGCACAGGTTCCAACCATACGCTGCTACTATGTTGTTCATCTGAACTTTAGCTTTCTTTTCAGTCACAGAAAGGTTGAAATTTTCAGTTTCAAAGGAAATTTAGCTCTTCAGTTAAAAAACCTTGTGTAGATCAAATAACGCAAACTCCAACGATAAATGGAGGATAAAATACAGGCAACGGTGCAATCCTCCCAACCAAAGATGAAGAAATATTGCAATAAGATGAACGTTATGTGTGAAAAACATAAAATGATTAATATAGTAAGGATACAAAATAAATTGTGGCATCTTCATCAATTCCTCTTGGCAGTAAAACAAGCTCTGAAGTTTGGCAATGGTAAAACACCCAACATAAGAATCATGATCATCTACTATAAACATCAAAAGATGGACAACACTTACAGCAATCCAATTAAATTAATAATAATTATGCTAAATAAATTTCCATTTTTCTCCATTAAAAAGTAATTATTCCACCCCATAATTAGTTAATAATATGCAAATGTATCATAATCTACTCACTCCTGAAATAACGACGAATTTTCATTTTTTTCCAGTAGTAACACACCTTCAAGAGGAACAGTGAAGTCGAATTTACACATACCCTAAACGTTCTTGTGTTCTGTTCTTCCAGTATTCAGCTGTTGTGTAGGAGTCAATCATCGCAGCAGCAACAAAAGGCAAATGCTTGACGTAATCCAATTTGAAGTAATGTCCTCGCATCTCATGAATCCACCATAGAATCTTTGAAAGAACTTGAGAGAGATGTTTCTTAAGCACAACATCGAGCCATTTACCGGTAACGGCTGTGTTTAAAACAATCATATCAGCTTTGAGAGCAGTATCAATTGCTTCTTGGCTCTTAGCGGAAAGGACCTGCCATTACGTGAAAGCAAATAAGGAAAAACAGAGGAAATGATTTGGATACTATCAGAGATAGGAGCTTTCAAATAATTGTGCAATGAGTAGCTTAAAGCGCATTGCAAAAAATCACATGAGTAAAATAAAAAAATAATCACACTAACAACATTTTATACAGGTCTTGTAAAGGAAGTTAAAAGTCAGCATAGAAGATTCCTAAAACAAGGCAGAGTTGTGACTTCACATCTTCCTGTACGGCAGCCAATAACCACTCTATTCTAACAACATGCACATATGAGATGTGTAAAGCATCTATGATAAAAAGATTCATCATGAAATACCACCAAATTGTCGAGTAGAATTTTAAAAAGAATATTTGGACCCAAATTTCTAACCTCAATATAGCTGTGTAAAGCATTACATGCGCATATGAGATGCATAGAATTTCATGATGATTGAAACATAAAACATGAACTTGTAAAAAAAATCGCAATACCTGCAAACCCCTGTTCATCATCTTATGCTCCAAAGTATGAATTACTTCATTCTCTTCAGCAGGTTTCTGATATGTGATCCATATAACTCGGGCACCAACATTTCTTAAGAGAAAAGCTAACTCCATTAGCAGCAACGGTCCGCCTACAAGATGCCTAGAGAATTATTATACCTCATAATTCATTCGGCTAATGTGAAAAAGGAGGATTGGGTCATTCGGTTGCATCTCATATTGAAAAATGAGGCAACATTTCCACCTCCAATTACCTGAAAGGGATAACTCATGGGAGACGAGAAGCACAAGCTTGGACCTCATGAAATCGAGCGGATTCTTCTCTAGATTACCGTCTGGAGGTAGGTTGCGAGCCATATCCATAGCCACCGCTACTGAAGCTGCAACGCTGTCCCGGCGGAAATCGCAGGTGTCGAGGGTGCCACGGAAACAGAAAAAGACAGCAACGGAGAAACAAATAGCGACGAAGATTAGGAGGAGGCGTTTCCTCTTCTGGAGTGTAAAACAACCCGGTGCAGGCTTCGCCATCACGATCGTGTACTTAATTCCACTCCGGCGAAGTAATCGGTATCTTTCTTAGGGACTGTTTGGTATCGGATATATCTGGGATTTAAGTCGGATTTACACTAAATCCAGCCAAACGGTTTTCTTAGGGGCTAAATCCCGGGATTTCATAAATCCCGAACTTAGGGATTTACGGCTTAAATCCCAGATTTATTAAATCCCTCGGTTCGGTGGATTTAACGGGATTTAGCCGAAGAAGCGCGCGAAAGGGAGAAAGTTACCTTCACAGCCAGCGAGCTCCCGTTCTTGCTTCCGACCAAAATGTCGCAACTTCCGATCCGACAGCAAGGGAAATTCGTCGAAGGAGCGAAGTCGAACAGCCACGAAGGAGCCGAAGAAGCGACGCGTGCAATCTCTACACCTCTCCAAAGCAACGAAATATCAAGCAGTGATGAGTATTACAATAACATTTTGGTTCTACTGAGTCCTTTTTTTCCTAATAATGATGAAATATCAAGGATTAACTGAAGTTTTTTTTTTAGCAACCTATCCTATAATCTTATTTCTTTTTTAAGTTTTAGACTTAGGCTTCATATGAAACAGGCCTCTGTCTACAAAAATCTACCTGTAAATTTCTGATGACTGATGGATATGGGACAATCTGCAAGTTGTGTAGACCACAGTTTCTATTTTGCCATAGATTCTGTAAAGGGTCGCAAGAATGTCAAATTTTTAGATTGGTCACAACCTAAAAATGAGACTCAGATCTATGTAGACCACAACAACTCAAAAAGCAAAATTAGTGATTATAATTATTTATAATAATAATTTTATAACATTTTTTAATATTTAAAAATAATAACTAATATGATTTTTTTTAAATGCCTGATCACAAGTGCATGAGAGGAGTTGCATCATCGAAATCTTCTTACTCTTGCTAGTATGACATAACATCATTATTAAGTCTAACGTGACATATTGCTTACAATAAAGCCAAAATATCATTTTATAATTATGTTCATATAATTCCCTCAAAATTAGGATTACATGTTCTTCACAAAGTCATGCTAAAATTATAATAAATATAACATAATTCATTTCATATCATATGAACATCAATCAATTTGACTATCTTTCATTTTGTATTATTCATGTCATAATCATAGTAGCACAATATTGGACTTTCTTCAGTGTTCTTAGGATCATCAACTTTGTGCTCAATTTAACAATCATCATTGTTCATGTCATTTATTATTTGACAACTCATAAATGTTACAGTCCAAGATCCCTAGCCTGAGATTTTGATGATGACAAATAATGTCCATTGAATTATCTCATTATTCATTAACTATTTTTAATATTGTTCTTGTTTGTGAGCACTTACATTTCAGGGAGATCACATATTGCTCAAGACAACAGAACACTCGAGATTGGGTAGAATACGATGTGAAGTCTGTAACTCTGTATTTTCCTTTTTTTTGTTTTTCTTTTATTGAGTCTGGCCATGTATGCAAACTGAGCAACCATGCACACACACAGGGGGAGTTTTTTTAAGGGAAACTTTTTTATTCTCTGTAGATCATATTATATGATTTTAAATAGTATTGTAAGAACTACTGCGGCTCAACGGCTATTCTCCGTGAACTAATCATACTGTACGCTCATCATCGTATTATATGATGTGTTTTTAATTTGAAATCCTAGCCGTCATATTAATTTAAGTAAGTTTTTAAAACTTGATTTTTGAACTGATCGTACTGTACGATATAATCGTACAGTATAAATATTTGAATACTTACATAAATTATCTCCCATGATTAGTTAATTAAATTAATAATTAACTATTGATTGGTGATCGTACTGTACGACTTGGCTCGTAACGTATGATGAACCGAGATTGTTTTTAATCATCTCGAACATTGTACAGGATGATCCCTTGATTTTTGAACTAATCGTACGGGACGATGTAAACATCGTACCATACGACTTGAAGTTTTTAACAGATCGTACTGTACAAATTGGATCGTATCAGACAATTAATAGAGACGAGTTTTGTTCATCCTAGCGTTCGTCCTATATGAACACAAGAAATATAACATATCGTACTTAATGATATTTGTATCGTACTGTATGATATTGTTTAAAAAAATTTGTCTGCTCGTACTCCTTCGTACCAAGACGAAGACTGTTTTGAACTGATCATATTGTATGATCTTGGATCGTACTGTACGAATATAAATAGCTGAATTGAAAATTTAGGGTTTTTTTGAGCTTGATTTATATATGATACTTTTGTTTTTTGAAAAATAAATTAGAGGGAGGAACGTGACAAGAAGGGAAACTCTTTGAGAGGGAGCTACTTGATGAGATTTTGGGTTTGTGAGAGGAAGGAGAATGTGAGTTTGTGAGGGAGAAGGAGTGTGAGGGGATCACACGGTTGCTCCAAACTTGTTGCATGCTTGCTTCTCTTGTGACCCCGAGAAAATCTTATGGGAGCTTTCTAAGGGGGGAGATCCTTCAAGGTTCGTGTTCTCAAAGGTACTCTGTCTTCTCCATGAGGGAGAAAAACGAGAAGGTTTGCTGCCGTCACCGAGAGGGTGACATAGTGTTTGGTACTCCGCAACACCGGGGAAGGTGAAAGTGAGATTTTGTAAATGCTTCTCCGCCTTGCTATGGAGGAAAAAGGGAATTACTTTTGAGTAGTGAAATTCCCAGAGTGGATGACTCCGAGGAGTGGATGTAGGTCAAGTAACTGAACCACTATAAATTTTCTAGTGTGATTTTTCCGTTTATTGCACTTTACTTATGCTTTGCATCTTACATTTACTATAACTGTTAGGTGAAAATTCGATTCTAGATCTTTGTTGCGTGTTTTAAATTTTCAGCACTTATGTTGTAATCATGTTTTAATCATTCGCTTCCGCATCAAGTTAAGTTTTGTTTAAAAAAAAATAATTAGAACTCCTGTTTAGGTTTGTTTCTTTATTTCAAAAATTTCCAATTCACCCACTCCCCCCCGCCCCCCTCTTGACGCATCTCGTACTTTCAATAAAATCCATTATCCTTAACTCGCATGTAATTATATACTCTCATGCATACATCATAGATAATTCTCCACTTATTTTCTTTTAATAATTTGTGCAGGATCATCAAATTTCCCATAGATAAATCTGTCATATTTTAGGCAGACTCGAGATTAATTACTCGCATAATATAGGCATAAATCCAACTACACATAATGAGTTTATATGAATGAGAAGAAATTCATCATATTTACATCCATTACGATTGATCTTTATAACTCTAGAACTGAATTTGCAAAGCTACGTCATTAGAGTTGATACGTCATTTAAATATTCACTTAATTAATAATGAATCTCAATATAATATTTAAGTTGAATTTTTTAAATTAAATTTAAAAACAATTTTAGCATACTTATATTTGAGACAAATGTGTCAATGAGTCAAATTAAATTGCACCAAAAGTGATATGATGCAAGTTCAAACGAGCCAAAATCAAACACCTAAGGTCTAATTAATATTTTTTAGCATTAGTTGAAGTACCAAAAATCTATAAATTGCACATGCCTATAGTCAAATCATGTATCTCGACAAGAGAAAAAACAAGCTCGAGGTTGCTCAATTATGAGGTCACTCTATTCATAAATATTTAAAAAATGGTTTATAATTAAGGAATCGGCACAAGCCATATCATGAAATATTTTAGTGCCTTGTCTTAAATTATGAAATATCCAGCAAGAAAGCTATAAATAGACAATTATTCTCCATAGGAGTGTCAAGAGCTAAATTTGGACTTGGAGTTGGAGAGATCCCTACTTGATGATAATTGACAATAATCGGCACCAATAACCATTATCAGTTGGCCACCGTCATCCAATCAGTGTCCCCATCTAAAGTCTCAAGAATACCATTGTATAACTATGATATCCTAACAACTGTCAATCTATTATTGTCTCTGAACTACCATCATCCGACTACCATCTCCCACCGATTTTACTGCAAATAACATTAGTGCTAGTTATTGCATAAAAGGTTTATACTTGCGATCAACATAAATGTTGACACACCTGCCTCTTGTCATTGCCAATAATATCAATGCACTCCATCACTTATAAGGCCAATGCACTCCATCACTTATAAGGACAAATGGGCAATGCACTCCATCACACAAATAATGATGCCAACTGACTTTATTACATATCATCATCAATAATGTCAACGCATGTTATAGCCAATAAGCTTGACGCATATCATTGACACAAACATGGATGCTAACCAACTTTAATGCATGTTGTCGCCAATGACATTGAATCACATCATAACTCATAAAGTTGAGGTTCATATCAACACAAACATCGACGAGCGCCAACTTTGTCGTATGCAGTGATGCATGTCATCGCATAAATCGATGTACATTATAGACACCAACACTGACACCCACTGACTTTATCGCATGCCATCACCAATAATTTTGACATATGTAAACACCAATAAGGCTTATTTAAGACTTGAACACAAACTCTTACTCTTGATGATTACACCAAAATTTAAACTAAACTTCAAGGTTTTATGACTCTTTTTTCCAAAAGAGAATTATCAAACAAATCAATATAACACTAACCTAACATATATATAAAAGGTTAGTAGGGCATGAAATTGAAAACATATTTTCTGAAAACTTTATTTTTTTTTTTTTTGACATTTAGGCCATTTAAGGCAAACTCACACACACAACACATATACAAAGACTCGAATCCAAGACCTCTTACTTAGAAGCTTAAGCTCTCAACCAATAGACCAAGGTGAATTTTTGTTAAATTTGTTATTTAGATTTGATACGTCGTCAAAAAATTATCTTAAACGAGTGCGAATCTCGATGCAAAATCAAGTTGGAAACCTCAAAAATTAATTCGGAGACCATCCGAACTCCGATTTCAGCAAACTTATAGTCAAACTGAGCATCTCGGAAATACAAACCCAAGGACACCAAATTCGACTCAATCCGATCCCAAATGGGTCCAAATCAAGGACCCGAAGTGCTGTTGGAAGGTTCAAACCACAAATTGGATTACCAAACGGTTTCCAAACATAACAACCTTATACTCGAATCGAGCGGCTCGACGAGACGAATCCAACGAGCCCACGATCTCCAAATTCCGACATCATTAAGGTTTTCGAATGTCTAAAAAACGGTGCATAATCAAGGGATTCAATATCGGCCATTCATCCGACCACTCCCCATTTACCCTTGATCTCTCACCTATTTACGGTTCATGCCACTCCAGAAATCTATAAATAGAGCTCCCTCTCCTCTTGAAGGAAAGACCCCTGAAGCCTAAGGAAAAAGAGAAATATCGGAGATCGCTCTTGCTTCCTAGCCTCCTCGACCACCGCCGGAGTTTCGCCGGACCACCACCTGACGCCCTGTGCTCCACCGGACCACCGCCTAACGCCGTTGCTCCGTCGGACCACCACATGATGCCCTGTGCTCCACCGGACCACCGCCTAACACCGTTGCTCCGCCAGACCACCACCTGACGCCTTGTGCTCCACCAGACCACCGCCTAACGTCGTCTCTCCGCCGGACCACCACTTCAGGCCCTCACCTCCGCCGGACCACCGCCTAATGCCGTTGCTCCACCGGATCACCACTTGAGGCCCTCACCTCCGCCAGACCACCTCCTGACGCCGTTGCTCCGCTGAACTACCACTTAAAGCCCTGTGCTCCACCAGGCCACCACGTGAGGCCCGGACTTCCACCGGACCACCACCTAATGCCGAGAGTTCTCCTAAAGTACCGCTATCCTACTACGGTCTTTCAGACTCATATCTCCTGTCAACTACGGTCCTCCCGACCTCCGTCGCCTACTATGGTCACTCCGACCTCCATCACCAGACAACGGTCTTTTAGACCCGGTCTCTTGCCAATAACGGTCTTTCAGACCTTTGTCTCCTGTCGACTACGGTCCTTCTGACCTCCATCGCCTACTACGGTCATTCCGACCTCCATCAACATACAATGGTCTTTCAGACCCCGAACTCCTTCCAACAACGGTCTTTTAGACCCTGGTCTCCTGCCGACTACGGTCCTCCCGTCCTCCGTCGTCTATTAAGGTCATTCCGACCTCCATCACTAAACAATGGTCTTTCAAACCCCGGTCTCCTGCCAATAACGGTCTTTCAGACTCTGGTCTCCTGCCGACTACGGTCCTCCCGACTTCCGTCGCATACTGCAGTCACTCCGACCTCCATCACCAGACAACAGTCTTTCAGACCCTGATCTCCTGCCAACTACGGTCCTCCCGACCTCCGTCGCCTACTACGGTCATTCCGACCTCTATCACCAGACAACGGTCTTTCAGACCCCGGTGTCCTTCCAACAACGATCTTTCAAACCCTGGTCTCCTGTCGACTATGGTCCTCCCGACATCCGTCGCATACTAAGGTCATTCCGATCTCCATCACCAGACAACGGTCTTTTAGACCCTGGTCTCCTGTCAACTACGGTCCTCCCGACCTCCGTCGCATACTAAGGTCATTCCGACCTCCATCACCAGACAACGGTCTTTCAAATCCCGGTCTCCTGGCAACTACGGTCCTCCCGACCTCCGTCGCCTACTATGGTCACTACGACCTCCATCGTCAAATAACGGTCTTTCTAACGTCTGTCTCCTGAGGACTATGGTCCTTCCGACTTCCGTCGCCTCCAATGGTCTTTCCGACCAAATAAACATGTCTATGTTGATTATTGTAACTCCCACCATGTAATGTGCTCTATATGATGTAAATTTGTAACATCGAGCCAAGGTCTTCTCCCTAAGAAGGACCTCATTTGTAATCGACTGCAAATACTATTGGATTCATTCAAACTGGGTTAGGCCCCGTGATTTTTCCCCATTTTTAGGGGTTTCCACGTAAAAACTCTGATGTCTTTTATGAACGCTACACCCTCTCTCACTTATCTTCTTGTGTGTTGGATCTTCGTACAACGTTAAGACGCTAAACTTTATAATTCTCTACCGTTGCGAATACTCTAGGACGCAACAAGATTGATAAAGTTATAAATTATTATTTATTTCAAATTTCAGAGTTCTCATAAGACCTCATTTGATAGTTAGAAGTTAACAAATATATTTTAGAAATATTAAAATTTCTACTTTAATCTTTCATTTATTTATAAAAAAATAGCATTTTTGTTAAGTTTAAGAACAGTCATAATCATGTTAAACTGTAATATTTTAAGTTCACATGCAAGCAAAAAATTCATGTGCCGGGTCCGGGTCGATTTCGGGTTCCTGTGCACGAAGGGAGGTAAGTTCACGTGCAAGTAACCGGAGCCAACCCAGGCCGCGTAGCAGCGTAGGAAAATTCTTTCAAAAGCACCTCACGCGGTTTTGGAGCCAATTAAAACCCTTTGCAGTCAAGGTCTTCGAGCTCTTGTTCCTCTCCTGATCGAAATTCAACCCCTTGCTGCCGCTCTCCTGAGAATTCTCTTCAGGTGGATTACAGCTCCTGTTTCTTTGAATTGCTCTTCGTTTTGGATTGCTGCGGGCCATCTGAGGTCTTTTCCTGTTCGGAGGAGTGCTTGGTAAGAGTTTATCGACTCAATTTTCTTACTTTATTGTGTTTTGATTGGTTTTCGAAAGTTGGCTGGCTTCAAACTCCAGTCTTGATGGGTTTTGCAACTTTGAGGAATTGATTGGTGATTTTATTTTTGTAGCTTGCTGTACTCGAAGATCTATTCGAGGCTCTTTCAGTTTTTTTGTTAAATTTTTAATCCTGGATTCTTAAACCCTTAAAAGTTGGAATTTTGTAATGAAAGTTTACACCCCTAATGTTGTGATATGAAGATTATGATCCGATTAGATCATTTAACTTTAGGCTGATTCTTTGAGACATTGTTTAGTATGAGAGGTCTTTGAGACATTGTTAAAGCTACGTTGGGATTTGAGATTTCTTAAGTGCCTGCTGAGTTTATTTTATTCGAGCTGAATTCACCCTTCGTATTTCATAATGGAGTTGAAGAAGTATTGGAATCTCACACTTCATGATTTCATGAAATGGGTTTTAACATGTAAGATATCTACATTAGAATGAGTTTTTTTTTTTTGGATCTTTTATTAGTAACGCTTAGAAGATCTATCTGTTTGTTCAGCAAATATCTTATGCAGAACATTTGGAATTTGTAGTTATAATGTTTTCTTTACTCACAATGCTGAATGTTTAGCTTATTTCTGATATTTATAAATGTTTATACTCTGTGAAGTTGTTTAAGGGTCTGTTTTACCATGTGTTTGTGTTTCTCATCGGAAAAGTTTGATTTAGGCTTGCTGCATGATGCGAGTAATGCTATATTTACACTATTCTCTCATCTTTTGTGCTGTGTTTACTTTCAGTTTCATTTATCACAATTGTAGCAATAACTACAATCTAATATAAATCTTTAAGGGATTGAAAGTTTAGGCGGTTGACTACTTGCATCTGTCCATTTTATTGTCAATATTTTAGCTTATTGTAGGTAGGTGTGTAGGCAAACCAGTAAGCTTGCCAAACATATCAATTTACTTAGATAACTGAACAAGCTTGAATGTGAGTTACGAAGCTTGACCTGTAAATACAAGCTTGAATGGTTAATAGCTTGCTTATTTATTTTCGTTAATTCTAATTTCAATTTTATTTAATTTTTTTCATAAATATTTGAATATTAAAAAAGATTAAAAACATACTTGGAGAATGAAATTAATTTTTACGAACAGTTATGAAAAGTTGTGTTAGTTATAAGTTTGAGAGACCAGCAAATAACATATATTAGCATGGCCCTGATGAAAAAAGTATTAAAAAAAAAACTTTAAATGTATTTAAAAAATCATACCTCATTCAAACTCAGCTCAAGCACTATATGAAATAGGATGCCATGAAAGCCTTTTTAAACCTATCATCATTGAATATGATGAAATAAGTAATGCCTCCCTGAAGTTTTTAATCAATTTAGGAAAGGTATAAGGATTGGTCATTAGCTGATTTTTTAGCACTTTGTCACATTATCTGTCTGTTAATGAGAAAAGTGCTAAGTTATCTTTGCTGAAGACTTAGGTAGACATTGAGTTGCATGCTTGCCTGTCGGATTTGGTACTTTGTTTGCATGCTAATGTTTGTGTTTTGCCTGTTCCCTAAACTGCAGATTTCTGTTAAAATGGATGCTTTAAAGGCGGTTTCTCTGCCACCTGGTTTTGGCTTTCATCCAACAGATGTAGAGCTTATATCTCACTACCTTAAGAGAAAAAACTTAGGCCTAAAGGTTGACTTGGAAGTGATTCCAGAGTTAGATATATATAAGCGCGAGCCTTGGGATTTACCTGGTAATTATTCTGCTGATTCTTGTGCATTTAAAGTACATTACAAACTGCCTATTTTATGACTTGTGTTTAATTCCATGGAATCTCATCATTTATATCTCATTCCCAGCATGTTGTCAGATCCCCACCAGAGACAGCAAGTGGCACTTCTTCACCTCTCGCGATAGAAAGTATCCAAATGGTACACGCGCAAATAGAGCCACGGAAGCAGGCTATTGGAAGTCCACTGGTAAGGATCGAAACATCAGATTCCACAATCAGGTTATAGGAACCAAGAAGACACTAGTTTTCCATGAAGGCAGGCCACCCTATGGAAAGCGCACAGACTGGATCATGCATGAATACTACATGGATGAAAAAGAGTGCAAGAAAACTCCTGGAATGTTGGTAATCTTCCACCATTATTTTCTTGATAGTTATTAGCCTGTGCCTTTCTTTAGATCTAGATTACCAATGATCAAAGTTATATATGGAAGCTTTGCTATTTGATAGAAGTTGCAGATAGAACTAAAAACTGCATTTTGGAACATTGGGAATTGCTTACCTTGAACTGTAGACCTCTCATTTATGTACTCTACTATATTTTGTTGCAGGATACCTATGTCCTGTGTCGTGTTACGAAAAGGGATGGCTTTGTAGTCGAAGGAGAGAATGTGTCTGCCCGGTCTGAAGACATTGATGGTCAAAAATTTGTGAAAGACTTGGATTCATCTCAGCACGAGGGAGTGCAACAAGATAAATCAAGCCCGTCTGAGAGTACAGAAGACCTGGACTCATGGCTCAATGAGCTGATTGATCCCAACTTTGATGGATCTGTTGATTTCTACTGCTTAACTGAACTTCCTTCCTCTGTAGAGCCAGCGACAGAACTACAAGTATGGCCAGACTCTTATTACTGTTGTAAAGTGTGCGTCATTCACTTGCCAATGGCCTATGCGAAACTTATGAAAATATATAGAAAAAGACTAATTATGATCAAATCAAATCACAAATAAAAAAATATTTTCTTATTTAATCCGTTGCACAAAATTTTGCAGTTAGGAGCCTATTAAAATGGAATAATATGTCAAAAACTGGGGTGTGAAATGGTTCCACCTAGAGTTTGCTAAAAGAATGGATCAACATATTAATCATTCTTATAGGATTTCCCACTAAATAAGTTGGACAGTTCTTTTTGAGCATTTCATGACAATGGTAATAGCTCTAATGACAAGGTGCGGGGAGCTGTAGGCACAATTATTATAATCTGTACTAAAGAGTACCTTAATAATTAGTTCATGGCTCAAAATGTTTTCATTTTAGCTGAAATTTGCCAAACATTACAATAATTGCATAATTCACAGAAATAGAATTGCTTAGATCGTCATTTAAGTTACACCAGTGGATATGTAAATTTTGTCTAATTCTTTATTTCCTCAGGCTTCACAGACTAGAGTCAGTAATCTAATTCCGAAGGATGAGCCATTGGACTTTGGTTTCCTGCCAGAAGATATTTTGGGAATCCTGAAGGACGACTTAATCGTCATGCCTGAGATTACCGAATTGTTGGCTGTTGATCACAGTCCCACAATATCCCTCAACCAGCAAAGAAACTTTGGCGCTGAAGATTTCAAAAAAGAGATGCCTAATCTTTCGCAAAACTCCAACTTTATACAGATAAGAGAACGCCACGAACGTCCTGTAGCTGACACTTTTCCCCACCGTGTCAAGCTTGTTCGAACCAATAAGATGGAATCAAGGAACAGCTCAGCTGTTCGCCAGACCATCAAATGTGCACAAGTTGACCATTGCATCAGTGCAAACAGCAAGCTGAAGCATCCAACGAAGTTGGAAGTGAAGGACGAGACATCACGCAAAGAATCAAAACAGAATTACAATAGAATCAAAGCTGGCATCGACTGCTATTTTCTGCGTGCTTGCATGATTGGAGCTGCAGGTTTGATCATCTACTTTCTGTTCCGTGATGCTGTTCATATCTCAGGGAACTTCCCTGTTCTTGAATTGTAGATTACTGTGTTGAAAAATAGTTTATGGCATTCACATATAGGTTCTCGACTCACCAGTGTAGTTCATTGTCAATTTGACATGGTAGGCTTGCGTTGTTCTGTTGACAGTCATCCACTGTTTTTGCTTTGAGTTTTTTTGTACAGTATAAATTTGAATATTTTCTGGTTCCTCCATGGTTTACTAGCAGCTGGAGGGGTTATGGTTTATGTAATTAATATATATTTAATATTATCATAATCATGATTATGATGAATAATTTATTTGTTTAGATCTTCTGTGAGTATTTGTCTTTTTAATACTTACAGATTTGTATTAAGTATTGATTTTAGTGGATCTATAAATTGTTTTTCTTCTCTGCTTTAGAGGTTGTATAAAGTTACTTGTAGAGCCCTGGTCTTTTTGAGGTACTACTAAAAGAAGAATGCCATGTTTAATAGTTGACAATAATTTTTGGCTTGTAGTTGCAAAGTTTTAAAGATTTGTTTGTTATTTGGTAAGAAAACTGTTATGTGAGGGTGTATTTATTTGTTAAATGAGTTGATTTTGTTTGAAGGTAGAGCAAGATGTTCTAAATCATAGTTATCTTGCCTTTGTATTCGTTATGTTTGCTCATAAATAGGCATAAGTTTTCAATGAATAAAGCTCAATACATGCACACACACGTCTCTTTGGGTGTGATTGACCCCATGGTGAAATTCCATCACTTAAGGAACCTAGAGGGAGAAAGAAGGATAGTCCTACAGGCATTGCACCTCCTTAGCTATTAAGATCTTCTAGGTAGAAAGTGTGTTCTATTCTTCAGCGAGATGAATTGAGATTTTCTCTATCATTTATTTTACTTACATAAGTTTTTAAATTATGTGTTTTTTGTTCTCTTGTCAATTTGCATCAAAATTATATTAATTATTTTATTTAATACTTTTTTTTAATCCCAATTCACCCTCACTCTATCACAACCCAACCCAATAAGACCCACAAACGAAACAAGTCCTTTCATATTGACTTGTGACAGTCCAACCCAAGATTGGAGGTATAAGAAACTTTTCAAAATTTTCTTCCAATAATATCTAGAAAACAAACAACAGGTCATAGAAAATGATAACACTTCTCTACGGAAAAGAATCAACAATTATCTCAGAGCATCTCATTAGCCTCTCAGAAAATGATAACACTTCTATCTAAAAGTACAACAAGCTGTTGAGCACACTTGATCAAAATAGTAAACTATCTCATACTGCATCATAGCCATATTCCCCCAAACCAACCTCAAAAACATCTCCTACATTTATTGTTGAGTGGACGGAGGCACAAACTAGATTCTAAATGCATTAGCAAATTCTTTCCAACCAATCAAAGAATCCAGCCTCCCATAAAATTTCTTCTGCTGATGGTTAATTACCAGTGTTCAACCTCATCATCTCACAAAAATATGGGCAAAGGTACTCTCCTCTCAAAAGAAAATTGCATATCATCAAAGTCTTCTCCAGTCTCATCAACCAATCATTTATAGCTCCAGGCTTAACTGTAACCTTCTATCTCAAAGGATTCAATCTCAGAAGTATCTGCAAATACTGACTTACATCCTCAGTCCTACCAAAAGAACTCCTACTATGGGCCTCGCCCATTAATTGAGCCACCAAACCAGCAAATTGTGACATCATATCAGAACCAATAACAAGGGTTGTACTAACTATTGGTGCAATCTGGCTTGCACTCTACCCATCATTCATATCATGCTAAAGTTGATCCATCATAACTCATAGATCACACACAACAACTGATACATGCATATAAATAACAAAATACAATGAATGCATGACATTACCCAAAATGACCTTACTTGACTTTTAGATCAATTTTTATAACTCTATTTTACAATCCATTTTTTCAAAAACATTGCTCTGATACAAAAAAGAAAGAATGTCACAACCAAACCCGATAAGACCTACAAGTTCTATAGTGTTGGCTTGCAATAGACCAATCCAAAATTGGAGTTTTGAGAAACTCTTCAAATATTTCTTTCAATAATACCTAAAAAATAAATAACAAATCATATAGCTGCTAATAACTTCCAATATATAGAAAATAACTCATCCAAAAAATTCTCTCATTCTCATCAAAATGTATGTATATAACATTTATGCTACAATATATGACTATTGACTAAAATATATAACAAGATAATTTAAACAACTAGTCATGACTGTATAAAATTAGAAAAGAATTAGCTATGCACTAGATAGACTTAGAAATTTAGTCCCAGCTACTCAACTGAACCTTTACCCCTACCCTGACCTGAAAATAAAATGTACAACATAAAATGCGCTAACACAGCTCAACAGATCACATTCTCTTAAATCATTTTTTAATAATTACAAAAGAAATGACTAAAATAAAACAATTATTCCAATCTTAATAATATATGTATTTTAGAGTTGTGCCAAAACAAAATAAACTTTTATAGATAACTAAATAAATTACAAATTTTAGAGTGCAATATACTGAATAGAATGTAAATAAATATATATTATAGAGCAACAAGTAAGAAAACCCTGGCCTTTATATCTCTCAAGAAGAACTCCATACTCTTATGCCTCCCATTCAAAACTTCAGGCTCTTAGGCCTCAAAGTGCTTTCAACACATTTAGAAATTTCAAAATAGAACTCTGTAGATATATAATTGAACTCTGAAACAAAACTCCCATCGAATTCCTTAGGTTCAGACATAATATCAGACAAAGATGCAGAATTACGTTAGCTATGTCATATGATAATGCAGTAAGCGGTTAAACATAAATTGGAACTATTAATATAATTTTCAGAAATTTATCCTAAGGGCGTTTTAGTAGTCCTGCATATAACAATATAGCTAAAATTTGCTGACTCAAAATTCTACAAAATTACAAGAAATTTTACACAACTATGTTTTGGTACTTTAATTATTCGACAGTACTACTTTTTAATGTCTGAATATTTTCCTACAATTTTTTTTTAAAAAATTGTGTTTAAAAAATATCCAGCAAAAATTTTACCAAAATTTATTTAAATGTCCAAAATTACATTTTCTACAACATACCATAAGTTACATGATGAAAACTTTCCTGTTCAAAAGTTATATTGATCTGAACATGGAAAAAATATATTTAAAACCAGAAAAATCTCAAAAGTCAAATTATAAAAATTTGGGATAAACAAAAATACAACCTATCTCGAGCTGGACAACTTTTAAAATTATGTCGTCAAAGTAAAATGACTCAAAGCGACTCGAAATTAACTTTCTCTCTCTAGAATTCCTCCTCTCTCTTTACTCGTCAGCTTCTAAGGGAAGCAATGACCCCCCAATACATGCACACACACGTCTCTTTGGGTGTGATTGACCCCATGGTGAAATTCCATCACTTAAGGAACCTAGAGGGAGCAAGAATGATAGTCCTAAAGGCATTGCACCTCCTTAGCCATTAGGGTCTTCTAGGTAGAAAGTGTGTCCTATTCTTCAGCAAAATGAATTGAGATTTTCTTTATCATTTATTTTACTTACATAAGTTTTTAAATTATGTGTTTGTTTGTTCTCTTGTCAATTTGCATCAAAATTATATTAATTATTTTGTTTAATATATATTTTTTAATCCCAATTCACCCTCACTCTATCACAACCCAACCCAATAAGACCCATAGACGAAACAAGTCCTTTCATATTGACTTGTGATAGTCCAACCCAAGATTGGAGGTATGAGAAACTTTTCAGAATTTTCTTCCAATAATATCTAGAAAACAAACAACTGACATAGAAAATTATAACACTTCTCTACTGAAAAGAATCAATGATTATCTCAAAGCATCTCATGAGCCTCTCAGAAAATGATAACACTTCTATCTGAAAGTACAACAAGCTGTTGAGCACACTTGATCAAAATAGTAAACTATCTCATACTGCATCATAGCCATATTCCCCCAAACCAACCTCAAAAACATCTCCTACATTTATTGTTGAGTGGACAGAGGCACAAACTAGATTCTAAATGCATTAATAAATTCTTTCCAACCAATCAAAGAATTCAGCCTCCCATAAAATTTCTCCTATTGATGGCTATTTACCAATGCTCAACCTCATCATTTAATAAAAATACGGTCAAAGGTACTCTCCTCTCAAAAAAAAAAAAAAAAACTGCATACCATCAAAGTCTTCTCCAGTCTCATCAACCAATCATTTGTAACTCCAGGCTTAACTGTAACCTTGTATCTCAAAGGCTTCAATCTCAGAAGTATCTGCAAATACTGATTTACATCCTCAGTCCTACCAGAAGAACTCCTACTCTGGGCCTCACCCATTAACTGAGCCACCAAACCAGCAAATTGTGACATCATATCAGAACCAATAACAAGGGTTGTACTAACTATCGGTGCAATCTGGCTTGCACTCTACCCATCATTCATATCATGCTAAAGTTGATCCATCATAACTCATAGATCACACACAACAACTGATACATGCATATAAATAACAAAATACAATGAATGCATGACACTACCCAAAATGACCTTACTTTACTTACAGATTAATTTTTATAACTCTATTTTACGATCCATTTTTTCAAAACCATTGCTCTGATACAAAAAGAAAGAATGTCACAACCCAACCTGATAAGAGCTACAAGTTCTATAATGTTGGCTTGCAAGACCAACCCAAAATTAGAGTTTTGAAAAACTCTTCAAATATTTCTTTCAATAATACCTAAAAAATAAATAACATATCATATAGTTGCTAATAACTTCCAATATACAGAAAATAACTCATCCAAAAAATCTCTCATTCTCATCAAAATGTATGCATATAACATTTACGCTACAATACATGGCTATTGACTAAAATACATTACAAGATAATTTAAACAACTAGTCATGACTGTACAAAATTAGAAAAGAATTAGCTATGTACTAGATAGACTTAGAAATTCAGTCCTAGCTACTCAACTGAACCTTTACCCCTACCCAGACCTGAAAATAAAATGTAGAGCATAAAATGAGCTAACATAGCTCAACAGATCACATTCTCTTAAATCATTTTTTAATAATTACAAAAGAAATAACTAAAATAAAATAATTATTCCAATCTTAATAATATACGTATTTTAGAGTTGTGCCAAAACAAAATAAACTTTTATAGATAACTAAATAAATCACAAATTTTAGAGTGCAATATACTGAATAGAATGTAAATAAATATATATTATAGAGCAAAAAGTAAGAAAACTCCGGCCTTTATATCTCTCAAGAAGAACTCCATACTCTTATGCCTCCCATTTAAAACTTCATGCTCTTAGGCCTTAGAGTGCTTTCAACACATTTAGAAATTTCCCAATAGAACTCCGTAGATATATAATTGAACTCTGAAATAAAACTTCCATCGAATTCCTTAAGTTCTGACATAATATCAAATAGAGATGCATAATTACGTTAGATATGTCATATGATAATGCAGTAAGCGGTTAAACATAAACTAGAACTATTAATATAATTTTTAGAAATTTATCTTAAGGGCATTTTAGTAGTCCTGTATATAACAATATAGCCAAAATTTGCTGACTCAAAATTTTACAAAATTACAAGAAATTTTACACAACTATGTTTTGGTACTTTAATTATTCGACAGTAGTACTTTTTAATGTCTGAATATTTTCCTACAATTTTAAAAAAAAAAATTGCGTTTAAAAAATATCCAGCAAAAATTTTACCAAAATTTATTTAAATGTCCAAAATTACATTTTCTACAACATACCATAAATTACATGATGAAAACTTTCCTACTCAAAAGTTATATCGATCTGAACATGGAAAAATTATATTTTAAACCAGAAAAATCTCAAAGTCAAATTATAAAAATTTGGGATATACAAAAATACAACCTATCTCGAGCTGGACAACTTTCAAAATTATGTCTTCAAAATAAAATGACTCAAAGCAACTCAAAATTAACTCTCTCTAGAATTCCTCTCTCTCTTTAGTCGTCAACTTCTAAGGGAAGCAATGAAATGAATTTAATGAAAAGATATGTTTTTATTTTAAATTCAGAACCCATTGACGCAGTGCTAGATCTTGCGCACCGCAGCGCCACTCCTTAACACTGCCACTCCTCAACACCACCACACTAAATTTATTTGTAAAATTCTAGAGAATTTACGCCAATTTCTTGGCATCATGGCACCCAGAAAAAAAAAATAGATTTCACAAACATGCATACAAACCTCACGGAACCCACTCCATAATAGATTCACATTCAGACACATCCAAGATAGTTCAAACTTCAAAATGTAGAATTCAGGAAATTACCTTTTCCAGATAAAGTCAGAATAGGTGCAACTACACCCGTATTCATTAGGTATTACAACAGTGTGATTGTCCCCTAATCCCATCACTTAAAGAACCTAGAGGGAGCAAGAAGGATAATCCTACAAACATTGCAACCTCCTTATTCATTAGGGTCTCCTAGGTAGAAAGTGTCCTCCTTCCAACATCCAATTTATTTACCATTTACTTACACAATTTATAATTATGTGTTTATTTGTTCTCTTGCCAATGCCAACTAACATCAAAATTATATTAATTATTTTATTTAATAATTTTTAAAAATCTCAATTCAACCCACTCCCATCCTAAAAAAAGTAAAAATATACGCCCACCCACATGCAACATATCTTAATGACCACTCACCTTCCACCAAGTGCTCATGCACAAATCCATCTTTGAATCCTCGCACACTAGTAGTCAACCATGCAAACCTGTGTCTACATTGAAACACTATCACACATTCCCTCATCTTTGCAAGCACCTATGGCATAACACACATGCCCCAATTTATCCCACTCATCCTACTCCCTTAAGTTTTTATTCATTGATCCCTAATTGTTAGTCAGTTTTTAGCTCATTATTTGGGCAAAGTCAACTAGTACTTCAAACTTTTTTTTTTCAACATGATTTAAGTAACTCTTAGACTTTATATATCTCTCCAAAGTGTCATGATTTATGTCTCCTCTTACTAAGATGAAACCTCTCATCACTGATACCACATTTAAATTTAATAATATTAGATATCTCTCATAGTTGAGGGCTTTTTTTGCTTTCTTGTTGAATCACATGAAAATCAATATCATTTTGATGCTCCTCTAGATAATGATGACATTGTCGAGGACTTAAAATAGCAATCTCCCCATTTTGCTGTTCTTATTTAGCTCCTCAACAATCTTGAACTTTTTGTTGGTCTTATTATCATGTTTAAAGATACCACTAATATTCTTTGTTCCACCTACTTTCAAGATCGTAATATCTTTATGATTAAGACTATTTATTTTGATATTTCTTTCCTTTTAGTAAAGCAACCAGCCAATTCAAGAGTGCTATAATACATTGAGAGAAAGAAATAAGATGGAATTACTTCAATGTAATCCCTTTCTAATGATGATATTCTTTGATTAAAGCAAAATAATTAAGTTTTTGTTGCAAAGTAAAATAAAGAACTTTTTGTTGGTCTTATTTTGCTTCTTCGAATTACCAAATCTTTCTGCTTTATTCTGTGACAACTATGCTCTTAATACGGGTTCTCTAGGCGGTAAAGGGGAATGTGGTCAAGAGGATGGACAAGTGGTGTTCACCATCATAAAAATCTCATTAGCCCATATCTACGTTGCAAACACACTACTTATCCTCCTGAATAGTTCTAGAAAAAAAAAATATGATTATCCTTTCTTTGTCCAACATGTATTCACAAATAAGTATTCCTTAGCATGAATATAATTGTTGTTTCATTCTGATATTTGGGGTTCAAGTCTTATTTTGATTGCTTAGGATTTTGTTATTTTGATATCATTATTGCTGATCATTCTTGAAATACTTAAGTGTATTTATTATACTATTGATAAAATTTTCTTTATGTATTTCAGATTTTTTGTTTTAAATAGTAGAGTTAACTAATCTATTTTATTGAAAGTAGTGCAATGATAATGTTTTAGAATGCATATAAATTCAATTTCAACATTTTCATTCTAAAAATGAAAAATTTTCATTAAAACATATTTTCTTTTACCTCTATGCATGTTAGAGTGACAAAACATAAAAATTATCATATCCTAAATATTGCTAGGATAATTATGTTTCAAATTAATATCCCTTGCTAGTTTTTCTCTCACTTTATGAGTTTTTTGGTTGCCTTTATGTTGTTCACATTTTTTGCCCACATAATACTTACTCTCTTTGTGGCACAAATTTTGTACTTCACCTAATACTATTTTTCACAAGAATACTCCTTTATTTCTACCAACACGGTATGAATCATCACTATTTGTTGTCTTCTCTACAAGTATCACCATTTTTTGTCTCCAACAACCTACTATCATTATATCTACACTCCTCTTTATCTTGGATTAAGACATAAATTATAGAGTTGTTACAAAAATGAAATAATAATAATAATAATTTTAAAAGTTTCCCTATGAGATGTGAATTTGCCCTCCTTTTTCTCTCGGAATCAAGCCAAAAGTTATAATGTTATGCAAAGAAAACGTCAATGCAAATATTTTATATTTCAATATGGGGCATAAAAGATAGGGTTTGGTGGCTCTCTCATATACAATAACTTTAATGAGTTACCTAGAAAAATAATATTTTATATTTTATTTCAATCAGGAATAAAACATACGATTTTCTTTTCTTTGTTTTTTTTTTTTTTTTCATAATTTAAGGTGTTATCTTTGCTCTTTATTTCATTAAGAAGCATGCCTTTTTTCACCACTACCTTCCTTACCATTGTACCAAAAAGTGGTTGTAGGCATCCTTTCACCAAATGAAGCATCAATTCATTCCATTTTCCCAAGAAAGAATGATTGCCCAAATCCAAAGCAGGATAGCTCAAATAGCTTATACTGTCAATTTGAATTTAAAATTCAAATTTGGGAAGATTGCAAATATATAGTAAGCCACAAAATAATAACATGATTAAAAAAAAAAAAACCAGTAGTTTTGATTCCTATCTTGCATATTATTATGTGATATCATAATTGATCCACTTTTTTCCTCTACATGCAGCATAAAATGCCAAAATATCTTTCCAAACTAATAGTAGGCTTGTTCACATTGACAAAAAAAGTTCAAGACAAATTTGAAAACTAAACTGTATGGCCTATCACCGAAATGCAAGGAATGAAAGATTATATCATTCTGAAGAATGCGGAGAATTCATTATAAGAGAAGCACAGCTGATTCTGAAAGAAAAGAGCTCTTATATTTTATCAAACTAAAAATGCAGTAAACTCTAAAGCTGTAGTTTCACCTCTTCCAACTTTTAAGTGCGGGTGAACGGTCATTCTCTAAGATATCTCGGCCAATACCATTTCTTTCTATTCTTCTCATTTTCTGATGCTGAACGTATCGGTCTCGACCCAGTTGATAAATGCCGTCTAAGAAATGGCTTACTGAAGGAGCTCTTCATGCCGGAACTAGTTCCCATAAAAGCACCCTTTCCACTAAATTGTTTACTCAAGGAGCTCTTCATGCTGGAACTAGCTCCCATAAATGGAAGCTTTCCGCCCCTCAACCTGCGATCCGAATTTGAGTCTCCGTCGACATCTGCATCAAAAACTGCAATTCGAGATACCCTGTTTCTTCCCTTCAGCTCATGCGCCGCAGGCGGTTTCAACACCTGTCGATCAACATTATTTGAGCACACTTGGCAAGGCGGGTCGTATGTGTCAGTTTCTGATGTTAAGCTTTCTAAGCACTCAGCGTGGTATACATGACCACAAACCAGAACAGCAGCTATAGGGAGATCATTTGTAGAGACTATCTTTTGAGTGCTCCATGGAGATTTCTCCTTCAGTAACTTCAAGCATATACCACATGCTTGCAGATTTGGTGACTGGTTACCTTTAGGCTGCAAGTTTGATCCAAAAATCTTGAGATTTTCAGTCTCGAATGATGATCTTTCTCTTTGAGAAGAGGCGACGAGCTCCGAGAATGTCCGCATTGACCATCCATCAGAAGAAACCCCATGAGATTCTAGAGCTGATGACTCATTGCCAAACGCAAAGGAGAGTCTTCCTGCTTCGGGAGAACTGCTGCCTTCATTTAGGGACTTGAGAGATGGAATCCTGCTATCAGAGATTTGTCTGTAGAGTTGAAACCCATGAGAGCGAATGGACTTTCTTGAAGAAGTTGGGTCAGATGTGGTGAAGCTAGTCGTTGAAGATGAAGGATCTTCCACCTTGATTGGTGGAGATAAATAAGGAATAGTAATTGAGGACTTTATGTCGGATGCATTCGGTAAAACTGATGATTTAAGTGAGCCATTAGCCTGTTCAGAAGAGATAATTGAAGTCAGGTTAGAAAAAAGCTAGTTTTAAGTACATTGCAGATAAGTACATCCTATAGGATTCTTAACAGCAAGGTAGAATTTAGTTTTAACTAACCTCGGGAGATGAATTGCTTGCTGTGGATTGATCTGTTAAAACCGTGATAAGAAATATTAGTTGTATCGTTAAGATAATTGCAATGAAGCGATAAAAAGAAACATCGTGTTATCTTTCTTAAAGAAAAATAATTACATAGGCTACATAAAGGTGGGTCATGTCAATTATACACAGAAGACTGGAAAACTAACAAACATACAAGAAAAAAAGGAAAAGTTACCACCAACTTGGTTTAGTGGTATTGTGTTTTGCCTCAAAAGTAGCGGCCAAAGATTCAAATCTTCAGAGAAATTAAAAAAAAAATGAAAAAAAAAACTTAAAAGTTCTAGACAGAACCTTCAGAAGCCAGGTAATGTACAGATCTATTTGTTATTAGCCATGCAAAGTTGTATACAATACATTCTATTGTAGTAACCAAAATGTATTTTAAGTTTTCTTGAAGTTCCTCCAAGGCATGTAGATCATCGACAAATAGTGACTCTCATATGATCCAAAATAGGAGTATAATCCTAATGACACTGATAAAGAATACAAATACTTGCAGCTCACAAAAAGATGGAATTGAGATTGTTGACTTGTAGAAAGGTCCAATGGTTCTGATCCTACACGGGCTTAGGTTTCATCAGACGGAAACAATTGGTCTTGATTGACTTATCACAAATTGATATCAATGACCACCCTCTCTATCTTCTTGACTCTAACCTAGTGGCTCAATATAGCCCTAGGACTGAAAAAAGCACTCTCGTCCAAAGAGGGATTGGGTCAAAGAGTGTTTTTCAAGGTAGCAGTCCCCAATAGTTCACAGATGTCACACTTTGAAGTTCACATGATCATTAAAAAAAGGATAATGAATCATACTCTTACCATCTAAAGCATACATGGTTCTGCACCGTCACTCTGGTAAGGCTTCGTCAACCCAACCCCTCTTTGACCCCTCTTTCTTCTTATGTGGCATAGGTAAGCTGCCTAAGTTCTGGGCATGAGTGATCCATAGCAACCTCTCAATGTTATTGGGTAAGCCAACAATGAGAGGGCAGAACGGTTAGAAAAAAAAAAACTTTGTAGGGGAACCCTAACAATCTATCAATCAATTTTAAATTTAAAGGGTACCCATGTTTGGCATTCTTGCTATAATCCCTTCTCATTCCTTGCTTTAAACAACAAGAGCTCTCTATTTTGGACTCCTTGTTAACTCCTTGTTGGATTTCAACAAATCCCTTTTGTCATGACTTTCCTTCAACATAAATCAGTTCATTTGTTGTTTGCCTGACGTTTTTAATGAAAACAGCACACAGGAAATCAGAGGAATTTGGGAGAAATGGAACTACATTTTATTGCAGGAATTTGGTTTATTTGTAAGAAATTATAATATGCATAAGCTCTTATCCAATCCTAAACAAACTATACATAAGAAAAAACTCTATTATAATAGGGATGGACATTTGTTTATGCATCATGAAGTTATCTTCTTAAGATTTTATGTTTCTTCTTCTGAACTAAAGTCTGATCCTTCCAAAATCCATGCTATTTTTAACTGGCATATCCCTACTTATTTCGCTTAGGTTAGAAGTTTCTATGGGTTAACCACTTTCTATAGAAAATTTATAACGAATTTCAATTATGTTGCTACTCCTAGAACTGATATGAATTTTATTTTTATTTTTTTCAAAAAATTTGTGTAGACTCAGCATGACAAAAAGCTTTTTAACAAATTAAAATTTTACTTATTTCTTCACCAACCTTAAAATTACCTAATCTCTCAAAAGTTTAAGTCAATTATAATGAATATGGCGCATTCTCTACAGAAAAGTTAAATGAAGCTAGCAAAGATACTATATATATGACGAAAGTTTTATGCTATCATTCAATCACTTGGCACTAATCATCAAGGACTCCAAAACATATATTCCCAAGAGAAACTTAATCATAAACATGAAAAATGAGTGAAATTATTGCAGGATTACTCTCTTAAGTTAAATCATAAACTTGTAATTTTAAACAAACCCGTTAATATCTTATCAAAAGTATCTTTAGTTATTTGAATCATTTATTCTTTAAATTTTCGTATCATTAGATTTGAAATATTGAAAGAAGACTATGATTCTTGTCCTCATTTTCACCTACTTTTTCATGAGATTAAATACAAACTTTTTAGTAGGAATACTTCTTTCTGAGAAACTTGGAAACTTTTGTTCAAAAATACACAATTTGTATGGCTAAAGATTCTCTAAGAGATTTTATGTTTGAATTACATAGTGGGAAATTGCTGGTCACTTTGGGAAGAACAAAATTACAGCTTTAACTAAACACAAATTTTACTGGCCTTCCTTTAAGCAAGATGTAGTTAATAGTTAATTCGCATTGCCTCACCTATTGGCAAGCTAAGATTGTAAAACAAAGATAAGGAAAAATATATAATTTTGAAAGTTTTTATTATACCTTAGCAGGATATCACGATAGTTTGTCTTAGGATTACAAATGAAAACTAAGGATTTGATAATATACTCATAGTGGTAGACAAATTTTCTGATATAACATATTTTTTATCCTATCATAAAAACAAAAATGTCTCTCATGTTGCAAAAATTTCTTCAAAGAAATTTTTAAGCTCCATAGTCTACCATCTACTATTATATTTGTCCAAGATATTTCCTTCATCTCATACGTCTTAAAAATATTGTATATACTGATGGACGCCAAATTAAAATTTTAATATTCATTTCATCCACAAATTAATGGGCCTACAAATAGTTAACAAAATATTGGGAAATTAAAGTTTCTTCCCACATCATAATTTATCTATTCAAAATAATTCATAAAACTCCACTTGAAGTAGTATATTGCTTTAATCCTAAAAAACCTACTCACATTGCACACATGTTATCATATACAATCTCAGACACTACATTCAGTTTTTCTAAAGATTTTTCTAGTCTTCATTAAGAGGTTAGGCAGCAAATAGAATAAAATAATGCCAAATATGCTGAAAAAAATAACTTGTAAAGATCTAGAAAATTTAATGAGAGTGCTTTAGTCCTAGTTCATATTCATCTGGAATTATTTTTCTTAGATTCAAAAAAATCCAAGCAAGGGTTCATGTTCCTTTCAAAATTCTTTTAAAAAATTGGACAAAATGCTTATTATTTAGACTTAGCATCAGGCATGCAATGCATATTACTTCATTTTTCAATATAGAAGATCTAATGCCTCAAAAAGAATCTTTGCAATCTATAGCTTTGCAGACCAACACTTTTCGAGGTTAATATTATGGCCAAGATCAAGTGCCCTCTCTACCTATCTTCTTTGACACTTGGTTGACAATTGAGGAGCTAAGAGATTAGTTCCTATTAGGGTGGACTTAACATCAAACATGCATATTAGTTTATTTTTCAATATAGAAGATCTAATGCCACATAAAGAATCTTTGCAATCTTTTGAAGGTTAGTATTTTGGCCAACATCAAGTGCCCTCTCTACCTATCTTCTTTAACATTAGGTTGACTATTGAGGAGCTAAGAGATTAGTTCCGATTATGGTGGACAATTACCCATACTTCAACTCTTTGAAGAGAGCTCTTTTGAATTCAGGGAAGTTAATGAAGCATCATCAACATCTGTAGCTCTCAAACCAGTCACTAGGGCCATTCAAAGAAAAATAATGCACACCTTTTAATAATAATAATAATAATAATAATAATAGCATATTATTATGTTATTTTCTTCTCTTTTTCAAGTATTTATGTTAATAAAAATAAGAGTGGATACGGGAGAATTGTAATGTATATGCTCTACCACATTGCGTATAAAAATTAATGCCAGTCATGCATTTTTGCATGGGTCAGCCACATCAAGGGCATTTCTGGTTATTTGAAGGAAGTCTTGGATGACCAGGAGATGAAAATAATACAAGTAGCTTCTACATAAAAATTTGGAGTGGCCTTGAGAAAGCTTTATCTTAAATATTTGGAACGGTGTCAAGATTTTTTTTTTTTTTTTTTTTTTGGAGTGATTTTGATTTGTCCTCTTCTTGAAGATTTGAAATGAATAAAAAGCAATTTCTTCATAAAAGCTCTTAATATTGGAAGATGAAAGATGAAAAGGTCAAATACTTTATTTCATGTTCTTAAATGAATCTTTATGATTATGACTTTTCATGCACCTATATGAAAAGGCCAAATACTTCATTTCACATTCTTCATGATGTTAAACCTGTAAATAACTACGAGATTTTAGGATGTAAGGCACCATATTTTGGTTGTATAACTGAGAATATCCTCAATTTTTTTTCAAATTTAATACGATTTCTAGTTTGCCAATCTCTTCCTTTGGTGAGGTAGAGAGTGAAATTCTTCCTTTGATGAGGTTGTGAGGTTATCTAATTACTCTATTAGTGTTCTTCATCCAATAACTATTCAAAGTTGTAGCATCCCTTCATTACAGTTATACTAAGCATGAAATAACTTGAGAGTTGCATTTGTTGCCTTAATTAAGAATGTAAAATGAGCGGTTTTGATTTTTCTTATATAAGCAATGGACTTAAACATCTCTATTAAATAGCATGTACAACCATGGTAGTTGAATGCCATGAGATCTTTGGTTATGACTGTTTTATGAACTCTATTTTAATGCAAGTCATTAAAAAGAGAAATGTTATTGAAGTTTTCACTTATCTTGTGGAGGTGTGGTCAAGTGCCACGAAAAGAAAAAAATAAATAAATAATCCCTTCACATGAGTGTGTCGGTATCTTGAAGATCAAAATTAAAGTCATATATTTTCATATTACTATGAAGACGCTCACAAAATATATCCAAACTTTCAATGTGAGATGCATAGTATATGCAATTTGTAGATGACAAGGCTCCTCTATTATGATAAGTGATAAGTTTGAATAAAGGAGAAAATATTTGGAAAATAAAAACAAATAGAGCTAGTAGAGTAATAAATCAGTATATGTTATTCAATTATAGTGGATGCAACATTCATAATTATGAGTCAATAGTGCTAAACGGAATATAACACCTAGAGTTAAAACTAGGTGGTTTAGTGAAGAGTGTCAGTAAAGTACTACATTATACTAGTAAATCATGAAAATTTAAAAATAATTTCATAAATTTGTAAATAGACTATGTTATATAAATCGGAGGAAGTGTTAAATGAATGTAACCCATGTGAATGACATAAAAAAATGCCAGGAGCATTCTATGTTATATGGCGGTACTACTGAGTAATGACTTTGATATGAGTTCAATTATTTCCCAGCAAAACTAAAGAAAACTCAAAAACAATTTTTGAGCCTATACCATTGCAGCCCAATTTATGCATTATAAGAATTAAGCGTAATTTGATCACATGGTAAATGAAAGACTTAGGATAGCTTGGTTAACGGTGAAAAAAAAATAGTGTTCTTTTTACTCCAACAAATCTGCACTTGAAACCATGTTTTCAGAGGGTCTCTTCCAAATAAATATGCTTAAAGACACGGAGGTGAGGACTACATGGTATTAACCCAAAATTTTAGGGGCATTATGTTGAAAAGCTGAAAAGAAAAGCATACATGTGAATGTAGCATGAAATTGGAACATAAAAAACAGATTTCAAGAATTATATTGGAGGATGAGGAATTCTGATAAAAGAACAGGAACTATATGACATTTTAGTGATGGTATTATTGGTAAACCAGGAAAGAAAAAAGACGTTGAAACCCTTGGTCATTTCAAACTGGCAAACAAGGCTGCCAAAACCGCATGCGGAAGATATCTAACATGAAGATATACCTGTTTTTAAATACTGGATCACCATTAGTACCGCATCAGGTACAATAGTCACAAAAGGCAAATAAAACCAATTATACATGTGTTAATCCAAAAAGAGTGCATTTTACAAAAAACATAAACAAGCAAATGATTCAAAATGAAAAATCATTAAAAATCATAACTTACCTGTAACAATGAAATTAGTGTTGTCGGATCCTCCACTTCGAAAGGACTTCCTCCCCTGGAATGTCTGGAAAGCTTTACATGGAGTTTCACTATCAGAAAGACCATCAGTTTCCGCATCTGCCACACTCTTAACTTCAGAGGTGACATTTCCACTGTTATTATGAGAATAACGTGCATGGTTTTCCATAATGTCCTCTATGTGAGTTCTATTGTCCCACCGAAAATTCCAAGTTGGAGATTGTCTAACGTTCCTATAAGTAGAAGCTTCATGACTAATCCTGTTAGGCAAGGATTTGTCTCTTGCAGCAACACAACAATTTTGCCCCATCTTGGAACACAAAATAAAAAACCCCCACCCAATGTATTAAAGAAATACCAGTTCGAATGCTATTTACACCAAGAAGCTGCGGTTTCTCTAATGTTCAACTGAACAATAGTTTAATTGGGGAGCAATCATGCTTCAAAATTCCAGCATATATGCAGAATTTTCAGTAACATTCTGTAACATAAGTACAAATGAATATATCAGTGATAGAATACTAATTGACATGAGTAGAAAAGTACATTAACTTCTTCAAAACATTTTCCGAAAGAACTACTTCCAAGCCTAGAAAAACAAAGCAGTTCGGACATCTATAGAATTTCAAGGCTTATGCATCAAATTCTTAAGTCTTCAATATGAACCTTCAAAGTTTAAAAAGTATAAATATCAACAAAATACAAACCTCTAGAGTCAGAAAACAGGCAAGGAAAATTATACTCAAGGTGCGAAGAGACAATCGTATGAACAATAAAGAACTTAGCTTGAAGGATTATCATAACAGGCCAGTTTGATATCCTATTTTAGGTAGAATTTAAGCGAGATATAACATAATTTTGAGGACATAAATTCTATTGTTTTGATAAATCCAGTGTTAGCCTCATTATTGATTAAATATAAAATTGGTTGAATCCCACCACTCATAGAATTTAAAGAGCATAAGAATTTCTTCCTCTAACAAATCTAAAATCTTGAAATAAATAGCCAAACAGTTAATCAGAATTTAGCAAAATTTAAAAGCCGGTTATGGGCGTTATTGACCAAATTATGCAGGATTTAAGTAGAATTTAAGATAATTGCCATGAAATAGTACAAATGACTACTTTAAATCCTACATAAAAATAAATCTTGTTTCTCTTCCATTTGGTGTTAGTTATCAGTTATCGCTTCTCTTGCTAAAAATCTTAATATCATGTCCCTAGATCCTTGAAAGATATGTCCCCTAAATCCACGTCACAAATAGTATACATTTGTTGACTCCTGATCAATCAGGAGAGTTGGAGTGACAGTTAATAGTATTCTTTCATGTCCAATAATCGGATGTATGACTCTGTTTGAGTTTATCCTTCAGGGTGTGAATAATTTTTTCAATGGAAACAAAATGAATTTCGTTGGTGTAACTAAATTTTCAGAGCTTGAAGCAGAATCTGGATTACTCATTTTGAGCTTTTCCTCATTTAAGGCTAACAGATATGGCATATTTAACTTTTTTAACATAAAAATTACATTTAATAGTTAATTTTGATGACCAGAGATATCTACAATTTCAAATTCCAAAGGCAATCTAGAACTTCATTTATGAAATACATTATAACATAAAAAAGAAGAACCAGCAACAAAAAAACAACATCAATAAAAGAATATTAAAAGTTGATGATTGGCGAATCAGGATCACAAAATGTAAGTGAATTCTTAAATTAGTTAATATTGAATATATATTTCATCAGCATATTGCTTACAACTCTAGGAACCAAGAAAACTAATATATTGCTTGCAACTCTAATATAATTCAACAACTTAAAATGTTCCAAGTTTGAACAAGTAAAAGATGGATTATTATTCTTGTATTAGTTATAATGAGACACATAAATTTATGTTGGATAAATATTTTGTGAAACCTGACAGAAGTTTGGTGATATAAAGATGGAAGCTCCCATTCAGACATTTTCATTCAGAGGTGAAAGAATATTATAATTGGATAAGCACAAGCAAAAAGTGTCAATAAAGCTTTAATGGGATGACTGAATTGGCATGGTAAACATTAGAAAACAAAAAATACGAGGACCATATAACAGTTCTTAGCCCCTACCCTTTTACAACATATTTACTATTTTATTGTGAAGTAAATGACTTGAAATGAAATAGTGGGACTCAAATAGGGCCATTGAAAAAATGCCAGACGTCTGTATTTAGGAAGGAAAATGCTACAATGGCAAAGCATTGCTTCAGTTCACCTAAACCTTTATTAATATGCAAAAGTATTGATAAGAATGAAGGAATCAAGATTTCATTTAGTACAAATATGCTGACTTCATGCTTTTTTGAGTTATATGAAATAAAAGAATCATACATTTTCAAAGAAATACTAGCTATTTGTTCCATGTCGTATGTCCTCTTGAAGTTGAAATTTAGGCATAGAGTGAAAGGCTAGTGATGGTGATCCTTCAAGCTATGTTTCTCAGTAAACTGGAAATTCTTAATTGATTTCATTGTTGAAGATGAATAGAATGAATCTCTTTCTGATCAGTATAAATTGGCAATAGAGGCTTGAGTGGCAGGATCAAGGGGTTTGAATGAGAAGAAATTAGAGATTAGCGGGATGGAGCGCTAGGCCATAGGAGGAAGATGGGATGCCTCTAGAGGGCGTACGACATGGAATAAATAGCAGGGTTGACAGCACAAGCGATAAATCTCCAACGATCTCAAGTGAAATCCAACTAGCCTTTCACTCTATGCCTAAATTTCGTTAAATCCATTGAATTACAGGATTTAGTAAATTCGGTATTTACTGCGGAAAGAGGGGAGATGTGATTCAAGTGACTGCAGGATTTAACTTCAACTTCAACACCATTTGGGAGGATTTAGGCCTAAATCCAAGAAAAATCAGCTACCAAACAGTCCCTAATGTTCTAATACTTTCAAGATTTATTAAATCTTGATTTATATGATTTAGTATAAATCCTACATCGGAGATGTTCTTTATGCTAGTTATCTACAATAGAATTGACCAAACCTCTCCTTTCCAGGAGAAATTCGTGCTATTGGGGGATAAAAGATCCATAATTCAATCAAATCAATGAATTAAAAAAAAAAAAAAAACAAGGTAAGACGATCTTTTTAAGGAACCACTTTGCTTCTTACATGAAATCAATACACCGTAAAAAACCCAAAAATATCATTATCAAAACAATCTTCTCCTCCCCAAGAGAAATTAGTAACATTCATAGGAAAAAGCCGAATAATTGAATCAACTCCACCTATAAGAATTCCAAAAAACCGAGTTCTTCTAAAATAACCACTTCTATTATTACATGAAATCAATCCGCCTCAATAAGGGGAAAAAAATCGCCACAAAAACGAGAAAAAAAAACCCCACCGTAACCAGAGGTAATCACAATAAATATCTCAGCTTGAAGGATCACCATCACTTAACAAGGTCACAAACAGAAGCAGCAATAATTACAAGGAGGCATCATCTATCACCAACTTCATTATCCCTCAGTGGCCGCATGAATGACAAAAAATAACCCAATCTCTACATTTGAACAAAACTAGAGCGTCACATATAGCTCATAAATAAAGATGAACTCATGTCATGTGAGTAATTGTATAAAGAAGATTTTTTTTTTAAAAAAAAAAGAGAGAGACAGAATTTCGCACAGCCACATGAGTTTTAAGCTACCTGGAAAGCTAACCTAGATCAAATTCGGGGAAATTGTCCAGGCAACCACCAAATCGATGGCTTCTGATACGACAGCAAACGAAATCACTCCACCTAGGGTTTCCTTACCGATCTGTGACCGACGTCACCCTGGATAAATCGCCGCGGGAAATTCCAGGAACTCGATGCTCTCTCTCCCTTCCACGAGATCTATGAGAGAGAAAGGGTGGAGAAAGAGAGAGTACCAGTTGTGGAATGAAGAAGATCTACTGTTGAGAGTAGGGATTTGAAAAGTCTTCGCTAAATTCACCGTTCCGTTTCTGCCGCTGTCCCTCGTGGTTTCCGTTAAGCTTGACGGAAAGCTTCACTTTTTATCAATTATATATATATATATATATGATACTTCATAAAAAAAATTATTTAATGTGAAATTAGGATGCAGCTCTGTGTCACAATGTAAAACTACATTCAAATTCCACACATAATAATTTTTTCTCCTTTCATAGTCAGTTAAATATATATATTTTTCAAGAAAAATTATTATATATATTGAAAAGTCTTTATTTAATCAGCTATTATATCTTACAACCAATAAAATAAATTGCTCAATTATAAATATTTAACTTTGTTGTATGTTTAAAAATTCATGATGCTAAAAATTAAATTTTTACTTCTTACACATTTTATGAATATTCAACATATACATAACCAAAAAAAAAAAACATTAAACACCAAATTTTTTATTGAAAAAATTAAAAAAAAAAGTAAAAAAATACAAAACTTAACCCAAGAAATGATCCAGCATGTAAATATCTTTCAAAAGTCTAATGATGATTGTATTGAACACTCTTCTTATGGGCAAATTATTGCATCCGGTCATCGGACGCGAAGAATAGGTTCGGACATCCAATAAAAATTTGCCACGTCACCTACGCTTTTGACTTGCGCTTTAGTTGCACTTTAATTGCGCTTTGACTACGCTTTACCTGGGCTTTTGATTGCCCTTTGACTCGCGCTTTTGACGCGTTAAATTTAAAATAATATTTTATTAATATCTGGATCTATCTCCGCGTCCGGTGACCGGATGCAATAATTTGCCCTTCTTATAAGAGGAAAAACTACACAGCTAAAAAGATGGACATTAAACTTTTGTTGCTAACAAATCTTTTTCACAACTAAATCCTAAATTTTAATTAAAAAACTTACAATCAATGACCCAATCCCGAAATTCCATTTTGAACCCTCATAATTATTTCAATTGGATATAAAATTATTATTAAATTCTTTTCAAAGAAAAAAAAATAATCCAATTAGTTATGGAAAAAAAAAACCCTAAGGTTGATAGGTGGTTTTCCTCACCAAACATATAGAAGCAGGAGTCATAGTAGCATTAAAACAATGAAGAAAGTTGGTGAGAGGATTGAGTGCGATAGGTCGTTGGAGAATTGGACAATTTATAACCTCATTTTTCAACCCAATTGCTTTCTTCATCATAAACCCTAAACTTTTTTTTAATATTTCTTAATGTATAATTAATCACGAGTTACATCACCTCTTTTGTTATGTCGACGCTCATGATACATATAATAAACAAAAGAGTATGATAATATTTTATTATCTAAATAACGCGCATTATAATTCTATTTGAGTTTAGCATTTTGCTTCTCCAATCTTTGAGAAAATATGCTCTCTCTCTCTGTAATGTGCATGTTTCATATTTTTTTTCTTTTGCTTATAATTGGAAGGCATTCCAAAAATTAATTTTGCTTCTTCATCATAGGTGGATCCAATTAAAGTGAGGGCATCAAGAGCGCATGCCGTGCGGACGTTGAACGCTATCTGGAGACCAACCAGAATGTGCAATGTCAGCAGTACTGAGCCGCGGTACTAAGCAATGGGAGATGTGGCACATTCTGGTTGGTTTCCGAACGGCGTTCGGCGTCCACAAGGAATAATTAATGTTGATTAGGTCCTTATCTAGTTTGTAACCCAATAATAAATAAGAAAATGAAGAATTCATTCCTTTGCAGTTTGTATATCTATAAAATCATTCCCAATAAATTCAAATATAATCTATATTACATACATTATTATAAGAGAAAGATTTGATTCTCTGTCACATCTTATTTTAATATTGAAAAGTGTTTTATAAACACCTTAAAATTATTCACATTCTACACAAGTTGCTGAAATTTGAAAATTAAAACATGATAATAAATTTAGCTTTTTTTCTCTATATTTAGTCATATATTTGGAAGGAGTTTATAAGTGCTAATGTAATCTAATTCACCTAGGAGTATGTTTGGAAAATCTTTTTTACTGTTTTGTTTTTCAAATCATAAACAAGATTCTGTTTGGCTATTATTTTTTTGTTGCTTCCAATATAAACTATAAAATATCCTCAAATTGTAGGACCAGAATTTCTAAGATGCTTCCTTGTTCTTCTAATTATTCTAATTCTTCATAAGCCCATATATTTTATTACAAAAATTATATCCCCGAGTACTGATTATTGATGATTATTAGACTAATTATATTATTAAAATTTTATTCAAACTATAATTATATAATTAAATAATGATCTTAAAATAATTGAGGATGAAATCAGATTTAGGGGATGCATAAATAAGTTAATTATAAAAGTAAAATAAAGTAAAAAATTGATTTTATTAGAAGAGGATATTCAACAAAAATAGATGAGATATTTTGCTAAACTTTTTGATGAAGATTATGATAATATGATTTACTGTAGTGATCTTAAACGATTTGGTCACATAAAACGACAGCCTTCCGATGAATTGGTTAGGAAAGTAGATATATTAGATTTATCTTATATTAAAAAAGGTTGGCATAGATCTAAAAAGACTTGATTAAAAAATATTATAAATGAATTTTTTTTATTAAATTTAAATGAGAATTTAACTCCTAATAAGACGTAATGAGAAAAAAAAATATTCATGTATCCACCCCACATAGTGAAACTAAGGCTTGATGTTGTTGTTGATGAAAATAAAATAAAATAAAATCAAACGTGAACTTACATTTTCATGACCCACGCTTCTTTAAATATTAAAATTTAACCAGATATTTTCCATGTCCAACTAATTTAATCTATTTATTGTTTTTCATTGTTACAGTGAACAGACAAAAGAGCAAGCTGGCTCAATTCAACTAAAAACAATTATTTACAGCAAGGAAATGAAAATGGTCCACCTATATTATATAATAACAAAAAATATTTTCAGGTGCAAGTTCTTATAGATTTAGTATATATTATTCTACATATATAATATTTATTTCATAATAATACAGAGAAATTTAAATTAAAAAAAAAACATAGCTTGTACATCTCATAATCCTCAATCTAACAGTACTGATACATATCGGAACCCAAAAGACCCTGCTTTATAAGCAGAGAACTCCATGGCCGGAGCAAACAGTCATCTTCAGCAGTCGGTAAACCCGTCGCAAACGCAGCACCTACTCCGCCACCGTCGCCGCCGCCGGCAATGTTCATGCAATGAATGATCTCACCGAGGCACTGTAACCTGTTGCTAAGCTCCATCATCTGTGCCCTCAAAATAGAATTCTCGGCTTCAACTCCAATATAGTGCTCAGAAGTAACATTAATTGCAGTAAAAATCTGATTTTTTTCCTGCCGGAGACAGCTCACCTGCAACATAAGATCATCCAAATGCTTCTGCTTTCTCATCCGAGAACGGCGAGCCGATTCTCGATTCGACAACATTCTCTTCTCCTTCCTCTCAGCCAATACAGAGGAAGAAACCATAGTCAAGGAAGGAGGAGTATAGGAAAATGAGGGAACAAGTAGTAAATTAAAAAAGGGCTCAGTGTTTGGAGATGGGTATTAGGGGAATAAAGAGCTCATGAGAAGACGTAGAACCAGTAGAGGAAGACGACGGAGAATGATTGGGCGAGATGGGTTCGGCGGCGGCGGAGGAGAGTGGAGCTTAACATAAAACCAGAGAGTAGGAGTTCACTTATGAAAGGCAACATCAATTAGGAAGAAGAGGAGGTAAGGATGCTGCATGTGAGATTTGGAGAGGGAGAAGCGGCGGGATTTTTTGGGGAAAAGGGTGGAATTTTTGATGGATTTCTGTGATGTTTATTGGATTTTTGATAGGAAAAGAAGTATCTTTGAGAAATTGAAGGACGAAAATTGATAAGATGATGGGAGATATGATGACGATGAGGAGGAGGAGGAGGAAGAAGATGAGAGGAGCAACGGGAGACGACTGAGTGGGGGGTTAAAAAGGAGATGGAATGGAAAAAAAAAGGAAAAGAGGTTTCGGGATTGCAAGAGGGTTGAAATTTATAGTTCAAATTAAGTAAACTATATAGCGATTAGGAATAAACATACTATATTAGTGAATTTTGATTTACAGAACATTAAAAAAATAAATCAATAGTTTATGCGTTCCATTCCATTGGTTCATGTTTCTCTTCCCCTTTCTCAATAGTGTTGGGTATTGTGCATTGATAGTAAAGGGCTATAGTCAATCACCTAACTAGTTAATTTAATTTGTAAACATCTTGTAAGCTATTTTCAAGATTTAAATTTGAATCCACCTTTTTCAAATTTATATTTTGATACTCATCATTTTAAGAAAAAGGTTGAGTCGATGCTTTCCTATGAATATTTGATTGTTATTACAAACTCGATGCGGCTACTTCAGTTGCATGCATTTTTAGTCTTTCATTATAAGTATATATGTATGTTTGTTGTTCCAGCCAGATCTCAATGTTGGGAATCAACCAACACCAACTTTAAACATTATCTATGAATCACCAACATCCGAACCCCATTTTCCTAATCGACTAATCTCCACTCCTATCAATTAAACTTATGCACTGGCCTACCCATGCGAATAGAATTTGGGCAAAAGGAAATTGAATGCTAGAGATATTCAACATTCGTTCATATTTATGATTCATGTAAATCACTTTAAACTTCTATGATGGCATGCAGATGCCAATATAAAAAATACATGAAATGAGAATATGAGTGTACTTTCATGTTGTTTTTTATAAACATTAATAATCAAATATGTTGTTTATGAAATTTATTTTGTAAGCAATTTTCATGGATGTAAAACAACAAAATGTTGTTTGTTTAAATATATCTAATTTTGTTGTGACATAATACAAAAGAATATTATTCTCCTCATGAATATAAAAAAAACACCGAATTAATAATGAAAAGTTGTAAATTTTCACCAAGAAAATAAAAATAGAGATAAATTTTAGGCCATTGAAAGTTGATAAGGCATTTATTCTTTGGAGGAACACATCCTAGTATAAAACAAAGCAAGCTGTCTCTTTGCCTCAATAAATCCAAATGCCATTTTCTTCCCCCACTAGTTATATTCTTCAACTTGGTTGAGAGAGAGAGAGAGAGAGAGTTCTATTTTTTTCAATATTAGAATCAAATCATCATCATATATTTATCAACTTGCAATAGAAACTTCAACATCAAACCCTACCCCTCACTCAAACTCTCTTGTATGCTTTCAATGGGTTCCACCTAATCACTGTTACATATAGAAAAGTGCAAACAAATAAATAATAATAAAGGTAAAAGAACCTTTCATATGCACTTTCCTTACACCATTAAATTCCACCACTCCACCTATGCTCCCAATGGCATGCTAGAATAAAGGGATGGACGTAAAGAATGAGATTCAAATATACAAATAATATATGCACAAATTTAAAAGCACTCTATTTTTTATTGAATATCAAGCATTCATAATAATTGATTAAATTTGATCATCAAATTGTTCCTAAATTATGCATTAATATTATTCTTGTTTATCTTATATGTGAAACTAATAACATTTAAAATGTAACATATTTTAGTATAGATAATTAAAATATTTCACATAACAACTAGTAACATATTTTAATATGGATATTTAAATATAACTTATATAAAATTCAAAATGGGATCCCATCCTCCCAATGATCTTTTATTTCTTCATATATATATATATATATTAACATTTTAGAAGCTTTTAAATTTTAAAAGACTTGAATTCAAGAAAATGAAGCAATTTAACAAGCATTATTATTAATTTTAAATATATTTTCTACCTGCAAATAGTTTAGTTTATTATTGATTTAAACTAATTATGAAGGTTCTACCAAAATTAAATATTCTAGGTGTTTAAAAAAATCTATTTCAAGGTGAAAATTACATGATAGAATAAAAATAAAAAAATTATTCTATGTTCTTAATTATGAAAGTTGAATATTCAAAGCTTAATATTCTATTTGTCTTCCAAGGAATGAAAATAAGAAATAAAAGCTAATCACATATTCATAAAATTTTCTTATTTTTTTGGAAAATTAAAATTATATCAAATTAAGGGAAAAAAAAAAGATAGAAGTAAACAAGTTGAAGATTTTGATAGTTAAAAAATAAATAAATAAATAAATAAGTTGAAGATTTTGTTGTTTTGCTCTAAAGAGAAGAAAGCAATGGAGATTTCCTCACTTCTTTTTGAATGTTGTGAAGTATATCAATTGCAAACTTTGTTCTAATGCCTAAAGTTCTTTTCAATACAATGCACCGATGAAGTGGTCATAAGTGAAAATTAGAGTGTTTTTGATAAGTTAATTGCATAGTTTCAATATAATTAACTGCAAAGAAGACAAAAGGTACAATATATTCACTTTAACTTTATACTTTTTTGTGTGGTTCAAAAAATATTTGAGTTCCTGAAAAGAGGTTCAAGTCCACTTAAGTGTTCACATAATTGGTCCCTAAACAGAAATTATGACTATGATTAACTAATCTTTTTGCTGATTGGGATTAATCAGATCTAAATTATTTAAATGATTGATACATACTGATAACATCATTGGATTTATTATAAAAAGGAATAAGAATATGGATCAGATATTAATTTTAAAAATTAAGATTAAATGATCAACATGAATGAGTATCTCAAGTGTTTAAAAAAGAAAAGAGAACATCATGAAAATTTAATAAATTCATATGATCTGCACAAATCTTGAGATACTATTTGAATTGAAAACTTCTAGAATAAAATTCAGGATCTACCCACAAATCCATTTTCAACAAATTAAAGTCAAACTGAGAATATCAGCAAGAAGAACATATCAATGCGACAAGTAATAAGATCCGACTCCAACTAAGCTCAAATCAATCACATGAGATAATTTCGAACATTAATTGCAGGAACAAACAATCCCCAATTTTGAAGTGTTTGTAGTCAAATTGATCAGCTCTACAAGATGAATCTAACAAGCTTAAGATTATTCAATTATGACATTATTAAGGCATTCAAATATTTGATAAATAATGTACAATCATTGAGATCAATGTGGACTGTAAGACATAATATTTTGAATTATAGCAAAATTGATCAAAATGCTCCTCTCAAAATATATATAAATAGATTCTTACTATCTACATGAAGGAGGAGTATAAAAGCTGAGAGAGCTAAATAACGCTATTGCAATTTCAGGGATCACCATTTACGACCACCATAAACAATCGTTTCCTCAAACCTCCATCATTCGACTATTGTTGCTTGACTATATTAACATATAATCAGGTTTTTTAGCTTTAATTATTCGCTTGTGGACACCTAATTTCTGTAATTCCTACAAGGGGAATTCAATACTTATTCTCAACTATAAATAATCTCCTCTTAATTGTGAAAGATTCTTGAATCTCTAATTATATATAGGATCGTGGGTTTCCACTTAAACTTTTGAGCCAATTAAGAAACTGTTAGACCGGTCTCTCCTGTACTAGTCCAGTCGATCCTTCCTTCTCGGGCTTTAATATCTAATTAAGGGGGGCGGCTGCTAGGAGGGAAAGAAATCAAATACAAATGAGTGTTTGGGGATTTGGGCATGTTTTTTTATGTTTTAAGTAGGGTGTTTTTCATAGGGTTGGGATTATATCTTGATTCTTAAATTTAGTTTGTTTCTAGGTTTATTAGGCTATAGCCAGTGGGTAGGAATTTAGGAGAGACAAATCTTTCACTCCAATCGAAAATACATTGTATCTTGTTCGTTTTCTTTCATATATCATCAATTAAAAAGTTTTTTCCTAGTTTTCCACATCATTTCTTAGTTACTATTTGGACTTTGCTGAAATTAAATTTCAATCAAGATTTTCTTCTATTTCTACGACCATTTTCTATCAGTTTCGCACACACACATCATATACACAAGCTTCAAATGCAAGAACTCTTGTTTGATAGTCAAAGCTCCCAACTAACACATTGAAGTGAGCTACATATCATGTCTTCCTTCAAAATGCAAACTAACAAACTCTAAATGGATGGGGAGAAATCTATATTAAAAAGAAATTATTTGAATTAAGAAGAAAAAAAGTAGATCTAAAATTACATAATAATTATTCAGTTTAAAATATTAAACAACACTTCATATGAATAAAAAAAATGAGGATTCATAATTTCGGCTTCAATAATTAGGATAAGGCTAATAAAGATCTCTAATCACTTACTGCTTACAAGTAATCGATCCACAAAGTGCCAACATTGCATCACCTTCTCTTGACATGATGTACATTATTTTTTTCCTCTCCAGATCTGAAATGCCTAATATATCCTTCTATGAAAATTTCATTTCTTTCACATGTGAGAGTTAAAAAAAGTTTTGTAAGGATTTATTCTAGTTTTATCAATCAAATATTATCAATCAATAAGGTTTTGAAATCGTCATCATCCTTTAGCCTCAACTTACTGTGGTCCATCAAATTCTACAGTGCCTTGCATGTGCATCTTAATGACAACACACCTTTGCTCCACCATGAAATGAAAGAAATAAAGTTTCTTTCTTTCTGAAGATAGTGCAGCAAGAAAGTGTGGTAATCTATTGTGGCTATTTTAAGTAAATATTTCTTTTATTTTCAAAAGGGGAAAAAAGCACCAAATAATAATAATAATAAAAGCTAACAACAAAATTTCACAAGTTATGAAGGACTTATCTGAATAGTATCAATGCCAGAATGATAATGGCACTGTTTGAACCACCAATTTGATGTACTTTATGGATCCTGATAAGTGACAGTTCATCTCAGCAACTGAAAGCTTACAAGAACAAGATTTACAAGTCCTGCCATTATAAACATATGAAGAAAAATAAAAAAATCATGACTGAATATTTCATGTTCATATATAATAACAGTAACATCAATGGTGACATTAAAAAGGTAAATTAAGCATGTGAAACTATAAAGGAAATTTTTAGATGTATGTGTTAATACAGCTGCAAGTTGCTAATTGCTAGTTTCAAAGGAACAAGCACTCATTATAATAGAAAAAACTTAAGCTAAAATTGTGAGGTTCAACAAAAATAATCCTTGATGAATAGAATAATGTAGGGCCTAGTCCTAACTCCTAAGTCTGAAGCTTAGAATGTTCACCCATGAGTTTAAGGAAGTCGGTGATAGTTAATATAGATCTTTGTATTGCGATACAATTGTATTACATGAATAGTAGGAATATTTCAATTGAAGACAACACAATTAAAATTAGGTGATTTGACCACATGCAAAAAACATAGAAGATGCAGCAATTAGAATAGTAGATAAATATAATCTCGAAGAATTGGATTGGTCAAGTAGAAGGGATTAGACCAAAGGTAATATTGATGCACATAGAGAACAATAGGATTAACATCTCTTACAACATTCAACTATAATAAATTAAAAAGTGAGGATTATAAAAACAGATTATAGGTTGGATAAGATATTGACGATGGTGAAATATGAAGGATAACATGATGGATTGCATGTTTTCTATAAACGAGAAATGAGTGAATAATTTTATCTTGCTAGAATGTACATAAAAGCACTATTTATGTATTTCTAAATGATACTCGGGTTCATTCAGTTGATATAAGAACATAACGTAAACTTCAAAATCTTGAAAAGTAAACTGCAAGATCAAGAGATGATGATAGCTAAAAAGGGTTGATTGTGAACAACAAAATGCAGCTTTAACTAAAAAGGAAAAAAGAAATCTTCCTATCATTAAAAAAAAATAATAATAATCTCTAGTTCATATCTTAAAAAGTTATCATAGCTTGCACTAAGACAGAAATATCTATCACATTTGCTAACACTTTTGAAAGCTTTCTAAGGGGCACATGACAATTCACATATCTCATGACTAAATAGCTATTGTAGCAATACATGTAACAAAGGATGGAATCATAAAGATATTAGCAGGACCAATGGACCATCAAAGGCTTTATTCGTATAGAATAAGCATGAGACGGCTATAAAGATGAGTGCCAAAGAATAGGCTAACATGAAAGAACTCACAATAATTAGGATTACCTGCAATTTTAGTCTAATAAAAGCCACAAATCAAATGAATACTCGATTCCAACAAATCATTAGTTATGTTATCACTTACTAGATGTATGGATCAAGAGGAATCAAAATTGGGCATGACTATCTATTGATCAATATTGAACTCCTTGATACATAATCCCTAACAAGTGGCACTAAAGCCAGAATTTCAGCTGTGATCTTCCTTCATTTGATTTATGATGTTTATGAGCTCTTAGGTAAAGGTCCATGAAGAACAATATATTTGCCGGTCTTCAAACATAGGAAAACTTATATATTGAGACCCATGCTGTGAAAGTTGTGCTTGGTTCCTAATGACAAATTACATACGTTGTCAATATTTCTACCAAAGATGTGGCTCTTCTTCTCTCACTATCACGCTTTTGACTCCACAGCATTTGTGCTCATCAAAATCAACATATAAGTTCTATGAATACCTCTTGTGTTTTCACCCCCTGAAGCCGAGACCACTATCTCTTGCAGAAACTTTAGGATATAACTAAATTCAACTGAAAGGTACATGCTGTAGCAAATAGTACCAGAAATCCTTCTACCTGTGTATTTAACTGCATTTATTTTCTATCAAAATTCATAAAATTCTTGTTCCATAACCATAAAGTTGGTTCGAGAAATATTTCAAATACTAACAAGAAACTACGAATGGCTCATTTCATTACACTTTGAAAAATTGAAAGTTGACAGTAGGTAGAGAATTTGATTCTAGCCATTGCAAGATCATACAAAAAATATAACTAAACAAAAATTTCATAAGGATGGCTGCAAAAAACAACTTAAATCCACGCGCAACACACCGGAATAAAATTTTCAAAAAAAAGTGGCTTTCTTAATGACAAAAATACAACGCATATTTACATGAAATAAACAGTCGAGTGCAACCGCAACCGATACTAGCAAGTAGTAACGCAACTGGACAATACACACCACATAAAAACCTTCCACCTTATTGTTTCACACAATGAGTCAAGAAACTTCTGAATGGAAGTTAAACATCTTTTTTCCAAATGAAAGAACTAAAACATCTCACTCCATAATATCTCGCACATTTAAGGAAGAATCATCTGCATGGTAAAAATGCATCTCATTCCACATCATTTCCCTAATCATATTTTCTCCCAAGTCTTCATCAACCTCAATGTCGACGGGGACATCAGCTGGAGGATTGGTACTTGGATCATAAAGAGGTGACATGTAAGGATGCTGAAGTGCCTCAATAACACTGATCCTCTTAGAGGGATCAAAAACAAGCATCTTCTGAAGTAGATCAATGGCTAAGGGATCTGCATGGGGATAAAGAGAACTGAAAGATATGCCCGGTGAGTATGGAAGTGACTTGATATACTTCCGAGCCTTAGAATTATCAATAAAAGAAAGATCAGAATCATTCATGGTGCCCAACACATTGACAATGAGCTTGAGCTGGTTCAGGCATTCTGATCCAGGGAAAACAGGTTTGCGTCCAAGTAACTCAGCAAAGATGCAGCCCACGGACCACACATCTATTGATGTTCCATAATTATCACAGCAAAGAAGAAGCTCAGGGGCTCGATACCAACGAGTGACAACATACTCAGTCATGAACTGTCCTTGCCCATTGCTTGTTCGAGCCAGACCAAAGTCACAAATCTTAAGGTCACAATTTGCATTGATCAATAGGTTTCCAGGCTTCAGGTCTCTATGCAGTATATTTGCTGAATGAAGGTATTTCAGTCCACGAAGCAACTAAGAACAATGATGAAAAATATTCAATCAATCTGGGTGTCAACTCAGTAGAATGAGTCAAAAGAAAAGTTTTTTACCTAGAAAAATAGAAAGCTAAGAGTAAAACTTAACATATTTTCTTTTTTCTGAAAAAAAAAAAACAAGGACTGAGCAACAAAAAACAACTAATAGACATAGAACTATAGGATAATAGGATTCAATTTCAAATATGGAAGCTTCAAAATACTCAACCGTGACAACTTCAGGTTGGTGCAACCAACTGAAAATTTTCTTTTGAAGGGCAAATATCCTCATATTTTCATGCAAGATGGTCCAACATAGGTTCAACATTTCCAAAGAAAATCGTGCAGAGTGACAAAGACCCTATGGTGATACCAAATCTACTCAGTGGATGATGACAAACTCAGTAAGTATCGCATTGTTCCATTATTATGTCTCTATTTTCTCTCGACTACTTTATTAGAATATGTAGTTCACTCAATGCCTACTTTTTACCAGCAATTCCTATATAAAGTAGCTGTAGACATTGTTAGGGGTGTAAGTGAGCCGAGCCGGCTCGTGAGCTGGCTCGAGCTCGACTCGTTTATGAGCTCGCGAGCGAGCTTATCGAGCTCACGAGTCGAGCTCGAGCTCGCTTAATAAACGAGCTCGAGTTCGAGCTTGAGCCGGCTCGTTAATTATTTATTAATTAAAATAATATATAATATGTATTATAATATATTAAAATAAATGTTAATGAATACATATGCACGACATCATTGATTTTTTTTGGAAGATGAGCATTGCTTTAATTAAAATAATATGTATAATATATTATAATATATGTTAAAAGTCTGCTCAATAATAGCTAGCTATAGACCCTATAGTACTTGATGCCTTGTCCGAGTGACAGTTACTCAAGCCTAAAAATAACAGGCGGGAAAAATGGCCACGGGCGGTAGAAATAAAAAAAAGGGGCACATGCGGGAAAATGCAAAACTAAATCGAGCGGCTCGCGAGCCGGCTCGAACTCGATTTTAATGGGATGAGCTCGAGTTTGAGCTCGCTTTTTGAGATCGACTCGAGCTCAAGCGAGCTCGCTTTCTGACTAACAAGCTGAGCTCGTTAGTGCTAAAATTCGATTCGACTCGACTCGTTTACACCCCTAGACATGGTAAATTACTTTTTCAGTTTATTATAGTTCAGCTAAAATCATACTAAAACCAAAGCATTGGAGAAAATAAGTTCTAATTATAAAATCTTCAAAGTAAATGCTATTCTCAATGCACTTTAATTTCGACTAGCCAAGGTTCAAAAGAACTAGATAATTGTCAAATGCAAAAAAGGACGCCCACTTTAAAAAAACAAGACCGACAAAATACTCAGTCATGAACTATCCTATTTACTAGCAGATTTTTCAAAAGAAAAATAGACAACATGGTAGTTTTTTATGGCATTAGATCTTGAACTTTATCCAATAAATTAATAGGTTCAATTTCATTACCATCATATTATAATTTTTACAATAATTTATAAACATTCAAGGGGCTACATGCTTTGAAATACACACATTGCTTCATTAGGGGACAAATCCCATTATTTTAAAACATGTTTAAAATGGTAGCAATAGAATCTCGGATAAAGTTGTGGAGATGTTAAAAAGCAAAATTTTGGCCACTATTAGAGAGACTAACATTATCAACTGCCACAGACTCATGTACTTCACTTCAAAACTTCGAAGTTCTAATAAAGCCTTTTAGGCGCAATGGGAGGTAATATTACAGCGCTGCAGCCTATAATCCTATGAAAGAATCATACAACATTATAAATACGATGCCACCATACAACGTAGGACAAACTGCAACATCTACTCATATCCTAACAATAATGACGGGCATGCTGCAAATAAATTTTACTAATTGAGAGTAATCCATGCCTCCATGGGAACGTTTTGATTATACATCTTTTAAGCAAATGAACATGAATTCAAAATAAAAATTGCACTAGCAAAGGCTTAAAGGCTTAGGAAGCAAGTTTTGCTCATTCTTTCAATTGATCCCAAGTAAGAAAAAAATTAATTTGCTCATTGAAGAGGTTTGACATAGAAGATTAACATAAAATTTTTAGGAGAATCCAGAAATATTTCATAAATAATTAACTAGCCAAATGCTGAAGTTGATATAAATAGTAAGAAACAATGTGTTTTTAAAGAGTCGAAAAAAATACAATTGAGGCTGATGATTGCTACAACGCTAGAATACATGCAAAGAGAACAATAAGTAAATAAAATATATAATTTTGAATAATTTATATAAAATGTGAGCGACTTAAAAGTAGCAGCAGGAGATTTGAATGCTTTGATCAAGTCGGATAAAGGGTAGATAACAATATCTAAATTAAAATAAATAAATCAAGGAAAAAAACAAAGAAAATCCTATCCTGAAAAATTATTAAATAACATTATTGAAAATTAAATCTTTAAAAAAATCATAATGAACAAAATCATGAAGCATATTATAAATTAATTTTAAAATTCATATGGTATATTTCTTGAGGTTCAAAGAGTTAGAGGAGATATTGGGGGTAGTTTGGTCAACAAATACTTTCAATGAAATAATGAATTTAAAGTACTAAAAGAATACCAAAAGCTTGAAGAAGATAGATTTTAACACGAAAATTTAGGAACAAATGTGATGTTAAAGGTTGTTGTAACTATTGTTAATGCATGTAGGTTTAGGTTTAATCTCACATTGAATAGTTGAAAAATATATTGATATACATATGCCAAGTGGTTGTTTCTCACCCATAGGCATAAGCTTCTTGTTTGAATAATGAGTGTAACCGTTAGTATATCTAGCTCAACTTAGGTTCCAATTTGATTCACACTCTCAAGCAAGTGGTATTATAGATAAATTTAGTTGGGATTGAGTGGTATAAGAATTATGGCTCCAATTAGGGATGTCAAAATGGTATTTGGGTCGGGTTCGAGTCAAACCCGAAGTTGACTCGGGTCCGATTCAACTGACCCAAACCCGACCGGATTTCTTAAAAGGGTCAAAAAATTTTACCCAGACCTAACCTGCTAGGTTACCGCGTTGACCCGACCTACTAACCTACAATACCACAAACAGTTCAGGCGTGGTCCTAGCTAGGGATGTAAATGAGTCAAGTCGAGTCACCCCTGGCTTGAGCCTGAGCTTGATTAAAGAATCGAGTTCGAGCTTGAGCTTTATTCTACGAGTTCGACTATATAACAGGTGCGAGTGCTTGTGCGGACGCGAGCACGGCGGGAGCACTATAAGGGTTTGCGAGCACGAGAGAAAGAGAGATTCGGATAGTGAATGCAGGATCTGGGTTGCGAGAGTGGGATCCGGTCACCTTCGGGTTTCCGGGTCAACCCGAAACTGACTTAATTTTTTTTTTAAAAAAAAGGTCAGAATCTCGAACCCAAACCCGATCCGTATGATAAATGGGTTGATCCAAAGCCAGAATTTTTTGGTCGGGTCTTCGGGTTGGGTCAAGCATTGACACCCCTGGCTTCAATGAGTTTTTGGTGGCTTCTATCATGGTTGATCAAAGCTTAAGAGTGATGACTTGCATGATGCTTTCATGCGATTGAGTAGACTCATGGTATATACTACACGATAAAGCTATATTTAGGGTTAATAACATTTGATTTGGAATGCTCTTATTTGAATAGGAGATTTTTAAGGGACATAAAAATTGGATTACATCTCAAATCAAGTATTTCCAATACTTATATGAAAATATCAAGTGGCTAGCTCTTATCTACAGACTTATTTTTTTATAGAATTTGGATTTGACTATTAATAAATCTAGCCTAACATCAATGCCCCTTTGATTCACACCCCCTAACAACTATTTGGAAATCAAACCTATATCTCAAAATGAAGGTAACAAAAAAAGCCTTGCAAAAATCACATTAGTATTGAAAAAAACACATTTGGATTTATACGGGTGAGGTAAACCATGGATGGGGAGGTAAGTTTGTTAAAAGAAAATTGATGAAAAACTATTGAAAGCAAACAATGGATTTGCAATATGATTTTAATTGATGTTAATGATGCATGCGATCAACGTCATAACAATTGATTTAGTGTACAATAAAAAAAAAAAGATGTGTGCAAAATATTTGTTGAAATTATCAAAAATATATATAATAAGGCAATCATTGGCATTAGAAGTTATGGTTGGGTGATAGAAAATTTCTCAATCACAAGGATCAATATTAGCACTTCTGATTTTTGTATTAGTTATGAAAATATTTATAAATAATATTTAAAAAGAGGTACTATAGTTATGCTATTTAAGATGACAAAAGTCCAACTAATGTAATTTTGCAATATAAAAGAAAAGTTCAAAGAATGGAGGAAATATTTAGAAGAAAATTGACTAAGGATTAGTAGAACAAAAGCTAAGCATATAATATAAAATTTTAGTAGGTGCGAAATTCATAAGACTATCAGATCCAATATTATTAGAAAATGAAGTGAACACAAGGTGTTAATAAGTATTATAGATCTATCATACAATAGCATAGGATATAAATAACATGTGACAAATAGAGTTGATGTTAGGTGCTAAAATAGAGATGGGTTATAAGATAAGAGAATATCATTGAGACTTGGGATAATTTTTTATAAAATTGCAATTACAACTAACTAAATTACATGAATGTGATTTTTGGGTGATTAATAAATCATTAATAGCTAAGCATAACAAAAATATAGAATTGTAATATCAACTTGAGCAGAAGTAGAAAAGTTAGCTTGTCCGTTAATAAGATAACAAATATTACACTTAGGTGGATTTGGCTTGTACAAAGTTTAGCATGCATAAAAGGATGTCAAATGATGTGCTAATAAGATGGGTGGATAAAATCATTTAAAATGATACGTGCATTATGATAAACTAGAAGTAATGCACAAAAAAGATTTAACATGTCAAACATATAATTAACCTCAAATAGTTTGGAGAAGGCTAATAATTAGGGTAATGAC